GACCACATTCTGTTACTGAGTAACATTCTGTTACTCAGAATGGGCTGAACAGGGAGCCAAGGACCAGCAGTGGTTAAGCTGTGGCTGTGCTATGGATGACACTGAGTGTTTTCTGTTGCATCATTGCTATCCTGACAGACATGATCATAAAATGAGACATCTAAGAGAGGATGAGGATGGGAGAAGTGGTTCACCGCAGGGAAGACGTGACCTGTGAGCTGGAACAGTGAGAGTGATTGGTAAACAGGTGTCTTCTGTTATCACCAGCATTCTTCAGATTGGAATAAAGGGGTTAGTGACCCTGCAGACACAGCAGAACGTATCTGTCAATTAAGGATACAAGGCTGGTTAATTTTCATGTTAGTCAGGTACCCAGACTAACTTTGGTAGTAATGGAGACTGAGAAAGAGGAAAAGACCAGCAGGTCTCAAGTCCTGTTGTTCCTTTTGTACACAGTGCCACTCACCAGCCCTCTCTGACACCTTCATTGTTGCCTGCTAGTCTAGATCCTTTCTGCTCTCATCTTGTACTTTGGATATAGCCTCTGGGGCTTGTTCTCTTCTTGTTCAAAACGCTATTCAAGGAATGATCAGGGAACACATAGGTCTCTGGAACTGAGTTGGTCACAGATACTTTAATCTGAACATAGAGAGAACATAAAGCATGAAGGGAAGATAGCCATGTGCTGTATTGGGAGGAGAGGAGTGAGGGTGAGTGTTGGAACTTGGGAGGAGAGGATCACATGGAAGGGTCACGTTGAGAAGTGCTGTTCCTGTCACAATCAGTTCAAGGCCCACCTTGCAGGGCTGCGGGGGGGGGGGGGGATACATACCTTCTTCTCACTCTGTTCCTTCATTTCCTTGTCGTTCTGCATGGAGGTTAAGTGAGCCCACTGCTGTAGTGCATGCAGTAAAGTCTTCTTAGGGCACAGAGGACTACAGAGAATGTTGAGGCTGAAGCCAAGGGATAAATATGCTGTATCTATATAGTACTGTTCTTATGCCTGAAAATTGGACAAAAGATCAAGACTTTTCATGGGGATGGTTGGCTTTAGACTTCACTCATGTGTTCTTGGGAGTATTTGAAGTGTACATATGAGCACACACACACACACACACACACACACACACACACACACACACACACACACACCAACAAAATCCTACTGTAGTTTGTATTTCTATATTTATCCTGGGATCACTGTGCTATATGAGCCATCTTAACATCCCCACAGGGCAGGTGTTTGTAGTTTCCATCATTGTAGCTGTATCTACGTTGTTTTTTAAACATCATCATCTTCTCTCTACTACTCAGAGGTCCCCTTATCTTGGTTGTTGCCAGGGATCCCATTCTGCAGAAGCATCTCCGCTTCAGCATCAGTCTGTGGAGGAGGGACATCATGGAAACCAGGGATGCTGATGCTATGCTTGCATTCCCTTACTCCACCCTCCCTCACTAGCCTTCTTCTGAGAACCCAGGCCACTCACACCAGAATTTACATGACTGCCTCTATTGAGGACTTGCTCTAAACCAGTGGCTCCTGAGAAGGATGCTAAAAGACAGCCTATAGAGACAGGGCTGGTGATGGGGTGACTTTGACAATTCCTGCACTCATAATTTCAGAAATCCATCACCTTATTATGTGGGACAGATGCAGAGAATGCCTATTGTGCTTGAGGTAGGAGGGAAGAAAGCTCAACATGAACAACATCTCTACTGGAGACATGTTAAGCATATCTTAAGATAGCATAAGCAAGTGTTTATTATACATGTATATGTATGATATGAATAAAAGTTATTTGCCAAAGAGATATTGTGAAAAGTCACGTGTTTCAAATCCTGGACAATGACTCTGCCAACCCCACCGGCCACTGTCCATTCTCCTCACATGCTCCTGGAAAGCAATGTTTGTCCCAAGAGGACTCAGTTGCAATTTCTGTAGTCTCACTTGGTTCCCTAGGACAATGTTAGTACATTAATCTCAGACCTATTTTTTACACTGGTTACAATTATAGAGTCTCCATGTAGGGTAGAATGGAAATGGAACAGCTTAGGGACCCGTCTCAGGAATATTTGCATTTCCCAGAGGACTTTTAGAGCTCAAAATAGTCTTAAAATTAAAAAAAAAAAGAGTGGCCAGCCTTACCGAGAATGAGGATAAGAACACATAAGCACAAAAAGTCATAATTAGCTCTGAGAAATAATTGAGTATCCATATTAAAAATGGATTGTATTGTATCAAGGGATGTCTGAGTCCTTTTGAACACAGCACCAGCATGAGCCATCAGTCATTCTCTTCTTCATACTCATGTTAAAGTTTAGCCACTCTTACTGAGAAGGAATGGGAGTGGGGAGACCAATGACTTGTGTACTTATTCTGAGATTATGGTGTCTCTCAATACCCAACTCCTCAAGGCTTGTAGTGAGGCACCACCCTTAGCTTTTGGCATCTGTCCATCGAACACATGTACAAGGCCATTCTAACCTCCCTCCTCTACCTTCTTGCCTACATTGGTACACACCTGGGCTTGGTACCAGTCGGGTGGCATTTTCTGTCTTGGAAGCCAAGGGTGTAGTGAAGCTCTCTTCCATGAGCCTTGGTTGCTCCTGTTTTCCAAGCTCCTGGATCTTTGTGACTTTGTCATTTAGATACATAAGGTGGGCCAACTTTGAAATGTTATCAAGCACTTCTGCCACCACACTACTTGTGGCTGATGTTCTCCAGTTTCCCTGTTTTATCACAAGTCTCAAGTATGACATTCTAACATGGATCCTATGGTTGACGTCACGGAACAGAGTTCATTCACCCTCTGTGTTGTCTCAATGAAAGCAACTTTAGTTTCCTGCCTGTGGGATTATACCTTGAATTGGAAAATTGGATTCTTTTATATGGGGCTGTATTAAAAAGGAGTGTGTGTGTGTGTGTGTGTGTGTGTGTGTGTGTGTCCAACTTGACACATGTCTATGTCCTAAGACATACATAGTTTGAACATCTGATATGGGTTCTGAGATTACAAAGAGGAACATAGCACTTCCCTTAGAGGACTTGGACTTCTGAATCTGTTGAAGACAGAAGGATAAATCAACTGTCCTTCACAGAGAAGCTTCAAGAGGCGAGGCACCATGGTCAAAGGAGAATGGAGGCAGAGTGAGACGAATCTGAGCAACTGGTGACTTTGTCCTTGGTCAAGGGACTCTGCCTGTGCCTGTTAGCTCATCCCAAACCAGATGTGTCAGCATAGCTACAGTGGAGATGAAAGAGTTCACTGGGGCTGATCTCAAAGCAGTGTTGCAACGGCAGTTCTCTGTGCCTCAGATATTGAGCATGTCAGTTGTGAAACATAGTGGGAGATGAAGCCAGAGAGATGGGCATGGCTGGGACACAGAATGTTTGGGATATCACAGATTCCTTTGGGAAATGTAATGAATTACTGATTTTCTCCCCAAAAGAATATATCTGTATATAGAACTCTATATTTTGAGATTATTCATAAATCATCTGAAGTCAGATCCTCCAGGGTGTTCATCATCACTCACTCTGTTATATAGTAGAGGGCATCAAAGCGTTTTAAGCAGAATTATGGACAGATTCAGTTTTTACTTTTGAAAAATCTTTGTGTGGAGGTTTGTGGAAAGTTAGTCTAGCAGTAAGAGGAAATGTGAGCCAGACCAATATGGAGATTTGTTCCTCCCCCAGCAGGTAAGGATGTCGTCAAGAGGAGATGGAGTAAAACTGGGTAGGGTGTGTATTAATCAGGGTTCTCTGGAAGAATAGCACTTATAGCATGTGTGTGTACACATATATATGAGATTTTATATTTACATGTACATTTGTTTCATATACATACACATACATACATACATACATACATACATACATACATACATACATACGTGCATATCCTGGAATTTATTAGAGTGGCTTACAGGCTGTGGTGCAGCTAGTCCAGCCTTTGTGGTCTACCAAGGGAAGTCCAAGAATGTACTTGTTCACTTCACAAGGCAAACTGCTTCACTGGTCTTTAGTGAAGTAGCCCTAATGCCAACAAAGGAGTGGACTTTCCAGCAAGAGTAAGAGCAAGCAGACAAAAAGAACAGGCTTCCTTTTTCCACATCCTCTATATAGGCTGCCACCAGAAGGTATGGCCCAGATTAAATGTGGAAATTCCTGCCTAAAAATATCCAGATTGAAATGTGGGTCTTCCCACTTTAAATGATTTAATTAAGAAAAATCCCTCAAACGTGTACCCAGCTACTTGAGTTTTAGTTAATTCCAGATGTAGTCAAGTTGACAACTAAGAATAGCTATCAAGGGTGTTATGGGTAATTGGAACTTGGTATTGACCTCCCTGTTTCTGAAGGGCCTGTGCTGTTAGCCAGAAGGGATAATGTTAGTAGGAGCAGACTGTAGTGTGGGGCAGGAGATGCAGGGTGGGGCCATGGAGACAAGCTGAGTTCAAGCTTGCTGGGATTCTCTCATGGGCCATGCTGGAGGAGTTGGGGAGGGAAAAGAATATGATCAAAATATATTGAATGAGAATTTTAAAAACCAACAAAGAAAAAAAGCGACAACAAGATAGGGGAATTAAGGGCTAAAGGCTAAGGATTGTGTACTGATAAGAACACAAGTTTGCTTCTGTGTGTTAGGTGTGAGTGTGTATTTATGTGTGTGTATGAGTGTGGGTATGTGTGTGTATGTATGTATGTGAGTGTATGTGTATGCATAAGTGTGTATGTGTGTATAAGTGTGTGTGTATGTATGTATAAGTGTGTATGTGTGTATAAGTGTGTATGTATGTATGCATGTATAAGTGTGTATGTGTGTATTGTGTATGTGTGTATGTGTGCACGTGTGTATGTATATGTGAATGCATATCTGTGTGTGCATGTGTGTGTTCATGGAAGAGAAGAAGAGAAGCGATCATAACTCTGTGCCATGTGTCCACTTGTAAAGCAGCTTTTGCATAACATCCCCATGTATTTACTTTGTTTAATCCTAGAAGTCTCTTAGACTCCAGTCTATGGAAAGTGGCCTTGGGAGAATGGCAGCTGAGCCCCAGGAAATGAGCCCCAGGATTCTCTCATCCCCTGGAGGGCCTGTCCAGACAGAAGCTGCCCCTGCTGGCTTCTGTGAAGAGGAAGATGACTATGCTGAACCACGAGACTACTTCAATGTCCTGGGCTACCGAAGCCTAGAGAGCTTCAGCGTCCTAGCGAAGACTGTCTAAGAACAGTTTTATCCCTCTCTCTCCTCTCTCTCTCTCTCCTTTCTCCCCGTGTGTTTGTGTGTCTGTAGTTAGTTAATGAAGGAAAGACAACTTCTTTTCAAGTTCATTTCTTCTATCCTTTTCTTCCATTTCTCTGTGATAGACCCAAGGTAAACAGCTTGTAACATGATTATAAATGGACATTTGAAAATTAATTTTTAGTTTATGTGTATGACTGTTTGGTTTGCATATATGTGTACGACACATAGATGATGTTTGTAGAGGTCATAAGAAAGAATTAGATCTCCTAGAACTGGAATTAGAGACAGCTTCGAGCCACAGTGTGGGCGCTGTGAATTGAACCTGGATCCTCCACAGGAACAAGTGTTCTTAACAGCTTTTGCCATTGATCTGGCTTCGAATTTAGTGATCTGAGCTGGTCTTCTTGTGTCTTTGGGAAATATATTCTTCCTAAGAACTCAGGCAGAGTTTTTAGCTCCAGGTGCTGAGGCAGATGGCAAGAATGGCCACTGGGCTTATTTTTAATTTTTTTTTTTACCAAGATTCACTCATTCAAGACATTTATTTATGAATGAAGCAAAACACAGACCTCTATGGGGATTCAAGGATGGTACTCTCACAAAGTGAGAAGACATTTATAATAAGATGTACTAGGAAATAAGGCTTCATGATTTGTGCCCTTGGGGTGTGGTGAAGTCTCCACAGATTGATGAGGCTGGCCTGTCAGGAGGAGGTATTTTCCTAGGAACACAAAAGAATTCAAGGTAGTATAGGTTGACATCCTGTGAGAAATGTCCTGGCACCCATTGGCCAATGAATGTCAGGCTTTCTCTTTAGATGGGCATTTTGGGCCTGTTGAGCTCAGAATCTACTAGAACAGCTGGTTCAGAGAATGCCAGGCTCCTCAATCTTTGAGGTCACAGAAGCCCTCTGGAAACTCCCCTCCACCTGGGAAGCCACACCCTCCATCTGGACCAACGTAGACCTTCCTCTTCTGGATCAATCTGCCACTGGGCTTTGAGAATGGAAACTTTTTGCCACCAAAAGGAAAGTCTACATCTTTAAAATAAGGACTGTCTCTGAAGACAAAAGAATAGGGTGTGTGACTGAGGTTTTAAAACAAGACCCTCTTTCCTTGTTGCCTAACCTCTTCGTGCTGGGCATGGCGTGTTTTCGATTAAATTATGTTGGCCTGCTCTTAGGCTGGATCTGAAGACTTTGTGCTTTGCCCATATCTCTTGGAGGAATGAGAAAGAGATTGGATTTACCTGTGAGTGGTTTTCTTTCACAGGCACAGATCTAAGAGAGAAAGAATTGAGCTTGTCTCTCTCTTAAATTAAGCTTTAGCAGGAAGACAGTGGACTCCCGTTCCTCCTGGGAATCCCCACCCCTACATCACTTTCCTCTCAGATGGATTATAAGGGGCTAAGATTGGTCCAGAGCCCCTGCCTTTGAGAAGAAAGATGGGAACAAATAGAATGGAATTTTATTTGTTTGCTGGGGGCAGTCCACAGGACTTGTCTTACAGAACTAAAGCAAATTGGTTGAAAGTAGAACACAGCTTACAAATTGGAAATGAACTAAGTGTAAGTATAAACAGAGAGGTGATTTGACTTGGAGAAGACAGATGTTGAGCTGAGGCTGTATTGAGATTTGGGTGTCACGTAACATAATTACTGTAATTGGGAAACACAAATACCACAGGGGTGGGGAGGAAATACATAGGAGCCTATGGATGTCGGAAATGGGTCAGGTTGCTAAAATGAGATTCAGTTTGACAGAAAACAAATTTCAAAGTGGAAAGTGAACTAGTTTCTCTTCTAAGATCCACAGAAGACAAGTGCCATAGGTCCAGACTCATGGAGACACATGCTGCCCAGGACAGTAGCCACGTTTTCCTTGTGGCTGTCCCAGCACAGGTGCTGTGAGCATCATCCCAGATGGGACTTGTTGCTATAGGTCTAAAACACACACCAGATTTTGAAGACAATATGAATCATGAAATGTAAACTATCTCATCCTAATGTAAAAATATTCATTACATTTTAAAATGATCCTTTGGATATTTGAGGGTTAAATAAAATATATTATTACAAACTAATTCTCCTGCTTCCTTTTGTTTTCTAAACATGGCTCCTGGAAATCTAATTTTGCTTATGGAGCCCCATTATACTTTTATAAGCTTGAGCCACACTGGAACCAGGAGTGTGAACCTCATATCTGTTGGTCTTTGTCTTTTTCTCCTTCTTTCAAAATGTTTGAGGAAGTCTTTCCCTCTTACCACATTGTATGTGAAGTACATAAGAAATTGAAGGAAGGGCACTTAAGTGCTGACAGAAAGGGATTCCAAGTTCTCCTGGTGTCCGCCTGAGTTTCCCGATAGGAGCTGGCGTTCAGGGAAGAAAACATTACTATTCCCTGGATATACTCTGATACCAGGCTACAATCAGATCAACAACCCACGAGATTAAACTGAGAAATGTTGAGTCATAGAGCATTGATCCTCATGAAGGGACAGCAACTTTCCTTGCAATTTTATTTCAGGAAGTGTCCTATCTCAGCCTCTGGGCCCTAGGAGTGACTTGTCACATACTTGTGTTCATACCGAGTCCATTAGGGCGGAGTTGGGCAGGCAGGCAGGGAGCGAGGCTGTGTGTGCACTGCACAAACGGCCACCTGGCAGGGCGCTCTGAACAGGGAGGAAGGAATCTAATATGCAGCCAGACCGTGTCTTCCAGCTTGGGGAGGGGAGTCAGTTTTGAGTCTGGATTCTTTCTAGTCCTGCTTCATGTCTCAAGTAGTAAAATCTCATCTGTCACCTCAAAGCACAGCCACCAATAGGCCCAGGGGAACCTTACTTGTAATAAGAACTTGAGCTTTTTCTGAAGTCAGACTAAACCCAATGGTTAGGGAATTTGTTTGGGGAGGTGGGGCATAGGCTGCCGCTGTCTAGTAAAACTTTCTGTGGGAATGTTCTACCTATTGTCCAATGTGATGGCCATTAGCCACAGGAGGCTACGGAGATCTAGGGATCTGGCAAATGTGACAAAGGAAATCCAGTGGAATTTAATTGGCTGGAGCTCCTAATTCACCTTGTTGCCGTATTTCTAGGCATTGATGGTTCTGTGGATCTTTTGACAGTGTTACCACCAGGAAGAAACATGAATGTTTTCCTTCCATTTTGTCCTTCCTCTAATCAAGACAAACCATGAGGTCAAAAGCAGACTGTCCATTTACTTATTTCCAGCTCTTTCCATGGTGATCTCAAGTTACCAAGTGGTCCAGTTCACAGCAACAGGGCCCCGGTTGTCAAGAAGTTGTCAACATGCATCACAAGACTTATTTTAATATCTAATTTCATAGAAACCATGGAAGACCCTTCTCTGGGACTGCAATTACAATAGGTTTCACAGCAATTGAAAGAGAAGTGACTCTAGTGTGGAGTAGAAACTGGTCTGACTGGTCCCAACATCAGTGACTGTAATGAAGCCACCTGGTGGGCAGCTATTCGATCTCTCAGTGCCTCACTACCAATATCTCGTTTGTAAATTAATAACAGTAACATTTGCTTCAAAAGACCTTAAAAGAATGAGGTCAGGCAGTTGTTGCTAAGTTAATAATAAAGGGCTAAGTAAATGCTGTTACTGAGTTATACTCCCTCAGCTTAACCCATGGTGTCCTCTTAACTCAGGGGTTCCCGGTGGAACAGAACTTCCTGGGAGGAAACCAGTGGGGTCCATAGGTTTCTTGTGAGCTTTCTACAAATTTTTGTGTTTTCAGTGAAATAACCCTTTTAAAATGTCAAACATACTGTAGACACTGATGATCTTATAGTAGGGCACTGCCATTGTTTTTTGTTTTTTTTTTTCCCCTCTCTGTTTATAATTTCGTTGATTCCAGGGGAAAAAAGCTTCCATCATGAATGATTCATTTGCTCCAGGTGAGTGGAAGAATGAAAGATTCTGCAACAGCAAATGCAGAGAAGATTGTCTTCTCTTTACACACTCGCCTGGAGGCTGAGGGCGGGCCATCAACAGCAGCATAGAACTTTACTGTGGGCCAGGACACAGCTTTACAAAAGCAATGTCCAACACACTAACATCGTTATTGCAAAAAATCATTCCTTTTATAGTATCATTTGTGTTTAATGTGTCACCTTGGTTTTGAATCTGTAAGGTAAACAGGCTTATTGGAAGTTATGTCGGAGAAAATTTAGAAATTCTCATAGCAAAAAAAATGTACATATATGTGAATTTATTAGAAAGCATAGTATAAGTATTCAGACTTTCTGTTATGAATGGGGACTTGTGAGTTTTTCCTTTAAAGGGATAAATCCATTATTATTCAAGTTTCAGAATTGCTGCTATGTATGAACATGAAAAAAAAAACTAGGCTCAAGTGTTTGTTTTTATTGGAGAGTCTTTGTGACTATGGTATAACTGGGAGGGTGGATGAGTATATAAACTATTAATGCTGTATAGTGTACATGCTGTTCACGGTGTGACAGGCCACAAACAAAGCACACCATTGTGCGGCGAACAAATACAGCAGAGGCCTTGCCAGTTTGTGGGTGATGCAGAGTGTGCAAGGTGATTGTTGTTATGATGCTGACAGTGCTCTCAGATGTCACAGAGGCCCAAATCATACTTCATCTTTGTAAAATTTATTTTGAAAAAAGATTCATTTGTTCACTTTATTTATGTGTGTGTGTGCACGCTTGTATGAGTTTATGTGTGCCATATGTCTGTAGGAACCTGTGGAGGACATTGGATCTCCTGGAACTAGGGTTGCAGATGGTTGTGAGCCACTACGTGGGTGCTGGAGGCTAAATCTGAGTCCTCTCCAAGGGTGGTAAGCACTCTTAACTACTGAGCCATCTTGGCATCTCTTCTGAATTTTCTAAAAATTAGTTTAACTTAGATGAGTTACAGAGTTTCAAGACACCAATGTTTAATGTCATTGGGGCATCTTGGTAATTTACCAACGACTTTCTAGGGCAGAGGTCTCTTTGATTGTATCAGGCTTGTCTGGGGCATTTTGTGCTTCTTACGTGAGGGGAAATGGCTACCACAGTGCTCCTCCAGCTTAAAGTTTCATATCTTTGTGGGTCCTGAAGACTTGACTTGGACCCTTCCTTGACATCCCTAATCCACCATCCCTTGTTAGTTCACTGATTCGAACAGCACTGTAAAGACAGCTTGAATTGTAGAGCACTGCTTTTGATTTTTATAGAACACCTATTTCTAGTTGTTAGATTTGAAGGCCTACCAGGGCTAAAATAATTTCTTCTATTTCATCCATACTCTACACAGTATTGAATGAAATACAAACACTAAAGGCTCAAGGAGTTCAATTTGGGTGACCTCACTAGGGACAAGTAAGACCTACGTTTTCCTTATCAAGTAGCCATTTTTTGTGAGAATGCCAAGGTTAGGAGACCATGTTCAGGTGGAGTAACCTACAAGAAAGATCTGTGGTGCCCACAGAAGTCCTTTAGCAGTCTGCAAAATCATCAAAGGGCATTTTTTTTTGTTTTTAATCATTTTTTTTATTTGAATTAGAAACAAGATTGATTTACATGACAATCCCAGTTTCCTTCTCCCTTCAGTCCTCCCCTATCACCCCCCAACTAAAACCCTACCTATCACAGACCCTTTCTTCTATTCTTCCCCTGACTCAACCTTTCTGCTCCCTCATGACCTCTGCATCCTTCCTCTTCTTCCCTTCTCATTCTCATAGCTCCCTCCCCCCTCTTCCCATGCTCTCAATTTGCTCAGGGGATTGTGACCCATTCTCCTTCTCCAGGGGACAATGTTTGTCTCTTTTTAGGGTCCTCCTTGTTTACTAGTTTCTCTGGCAGTGTGGATTGTAGGCTGGTAATCCTTTACTCTATGTCTAAAATCCACATATGAGTGAGTACATACCATGTTTGTCTTTTTGTGATTGGGTTATCAAAGGGCATTTTCTACTATGAACTTTTGTTTTGTTTTTCTAGAGCTCAGAAGTCCAGGGTACTAAGACTTGGTTCTGAAATAGATTCACAGAATACAGGAGCATATGAAATGGTTGTTTCCACAGGAAATGGCACTAGGTACTAGGTACCGATTTTCAGATGGGGAGGGCACAGTGAGAGCACATTCGTTAAGCAATAAACAATCCACGTCATTGCTGCTGAGGCAATGTCCATATAGGTCTCCACTATAGATCTCTACTATATAGATCTCCACTATACAGATCTTGCACTATAGATCTCCAAAGTGATTTTCCCATCAGAGGTCCTGAAATCCCTATTTTGGGTGTTAAGAGGACTGGTGTGTTTCTCTGGCCTTCTAAGTATGGATCTCAATTTGGACAATCTCAGACTCAACAGACCTCAAGTATGAAGGGACACAGACAGCTACCCAAAACAGACACACCACCAAGAAGATACAAGGAGACCAAGAGAAGAGTTTTTTTGTTTTTTTTTAATTATTCCTTCATATTCAAACTTCACAAACAGTGTGAACTTGTACAATACCTCGGAAAGTGAAACTTACAAAAAAAGTGCTGGTAACATTTAAAAAAAAACAACAAAAACCCCAAAAAACAAACATCATTCTTAGCAACATCAATTACTCTTCCACACAAAACAGAAACCTTGTAAAATTTATTTTCGTATTTTTAAGGCGTAATACTTCTGTATAAAGTATATGCAAGAGATAAAACTTCACAGTATTCCAAAATGTCACAATAATAATAATATAATAGTATAATGAAGCGCTACAGTTAATTTTTCTTTTTTTTGAATTTTTTTTCCTGTTTAAATAACAAATACAAGTCACAGGTAAATATACGTGAGAAAAATACGAGGCTAATATTAAATGGCAGGTAAGGATACTGTCACTGTAAGAAAAACTGGCAGGGTGTGTGTATTTAGTCTATATTTTAAAGCACTTGATAGAAAAGGCGTATGCAAGGTTCTTCAAAACAATTTTTCTGTTTGTTTGTTTAATAACTGACAACAAGAGTATAATGAGAGAAAAAAAAAAGGAACAAACTCCCTCTCAAAACTATTGACCTGCTCATCCCGGACCATGTCCCTGTGGGAGGATGTGTGTTGATGTGTGCTTGGGTTTCTACAGCGCAGACTGAGAAGACAGTGTTCCACACCCACCTGCGTGGACAGCCATTCACACAGTTCCTCTTAGGAAATTATTCTTTTGATTTAATGGTCTCTCTTTTCTTGCCTCTTACTCTTTCCAAACTCTTTCCCAGTGCCCAGTTCTTCAGTCTGAAAAGTTGCCCTCCATTCAACATTCTCTGGGAAATGGAAAACTGCATACAGTTTGTGACACCCACAGAGACATTTGAAATATCACTTGGACAAATGAGCTATGTGTATATGTGTTTGTTAGGTCTGAATATACAGTGTGTGCGCGCACGGGTGTGTATACACAGTAGCAATTGCATAAAAGGGACCATATTCCTTCCCACCTTAATATACACTGTGATAAGGAACATTTTTCCGTGCAGGGACAGGGTTTCTTCGAGTCTTATCACAACACTGTGGCAGGAGAATCAGGAAATGAGTTCGCCTTTCAGCAGTCACCACAGTAAACTTCATTGAGAACACGCATGCCCAGATGTCTGGTCTGTGCACATGTGTGTGTGTTAACAGCTAGCTAATGAGCTAACAGGTAACAGATAGACAGCAGATAGTAAAACACGTCAATAAGGTGCTCAAAGGAGAAAGTGGCACCCACTCGTCACATGGATGGCCACACTAAGGTGCTTCAAAGAGTTTTAAAGTTTTTATTTCAAACGTTGAGAGAGTTCTGGTTTGCACATGGTAGTTCTGAGCCAGGCCAAGGGTTTTGAGATTTCTGACATCTTCCTACTGAAAAGGGCTTTCACTGTAGTTGTTTTGTTCACTTGGATGTAGTCACTTGATTATAAAACATTTTTAATAGCCAAAACTTAAAATCATCATGACTAAAAAAAATAATTGGTGAAATGGTATAGAACATTACTGCATTCCCATTGGATCAAGATGGGTTTGCCCAGTTTTCCTCTATCACTAACACTGTTCCTTTTTTTCTTTGTTACAATCCATTCTTTATGAACATACAGAAATGACCAAAGTCACTGCAAGTGGCTGTTTTTATTTTTTGTGATCTGTTGCAAGAGTCCAACCTTGTTTCCTCTGCTGCTGTTTGTGTACTAATGAGCATCTGATCCGCTATGTGCATGTGTGTATGTACACACACAGGCCTATACATGTATAATATATACACCAGATATGTGTAGACATATATAGGAAGTGTGTATACATTTATACATAATAGAGTGTATATTGTTTCAACTGGAGATAAGCTGAACTGGGTTCAGACATTAGCACATGTTTATCTTTCCCCTGCTCCCTCTGTGTGTTTTAAACAGTCTGGAGCTTGTATTAGTTTTTAAAGTGCATTTTCAATGCAGAGTAACTGTAATCCACTGATTCCTTGGATAACATTTTGTTGTTGTTGTTGAGAAAAATCTGACGGTTTTCAGTCCCAGGCAAGAGAAACCTGGGTTTGGTCTTGCCAAGGGCTGACGTGGCAGTGCCAGGCTTGTGCCTGAGTGATTACTGGGCATTCTGGACTCCGGGCACCTCAGCAGCAGCAGCAGCAGCAGCAGCACCGTTATGAGAAGGCAGAGATAGGAAATGAAGGAGGGAAGTTCAGAGAAGAAAGAGTATATTTGGTGCGTGTGTGTGTGTGTGTGTGTGTGTGTGTGTGTGTGTGTGTGTGTGTGTGTGTCTGTGCACGCATCTGCATGTGCATTGCTAATCTTGACTGTGATGGGCTTGTGCAGTCCCTGTGTAGTTTCAGCTAAGAGATGCCATCTAGTTCCTTCCCCACTGACTCCAATGTTCCATGTCCCTCACATGCTCAAGGATCACCTAGAGGTCCTCATTCCTGAGGCCAACATCAGCGTTTGTTCCGTGGGTATGTGAGTGCCAGCATCGAGTAGGAATAAGGCACCAGAGAAATCAAATGTTATGAAAAAAAGCAAAACCCCACTTCAGAGAGCCTCTTGCCTTGTTCCATTAGAATATTGCATGTGATATCATTCACTTGTGTGCGTAAGAATGTGTCAAACACATTTTCTGAAAGGAACTCGAGGCCCTTCAGCACCAGAGATCTTTCTGAATGAACCCTCAGTCTCTACCTCCCCACCACCACCCCACCCCACCCCACCCCCACAAGAAAAAGCACCAAGTTAGGAGAGCAAGGCAACTTGCCTCACTCGCCTCATTTTGATAAATAATAAAAAAGTCTAGGAATAGAGATTTCAGAAACCACTCTAAAATCAAGTGGGTTAGGTTGTCAGGTATCTGACTACTTGATGCTCTAAGTGTGCACAGTGCAATGTGAAGGGGTTGAGATGTTTGTGTTTAGTATTTAGTGGGGAATTGTTTTTTCAAAAATTCTCTTCTAAATGATGCTTAAAATCTTCCAGAAAAACTTTAACCTCCCCTCTTCTAAAAACAAAACAAAACCCAACACACTGTAAAAAGGAAGAGGTTCACTTAACTATAAAAGGAAAAAATGAAGGCACATGACTTTAATTCGGTCCCACGATCCTCAAGAGAAATAGATTGTTTTGTTTTGTTTTGTTTTTTTTGCTTGTGTGTCTGTGTGTTTGGGAGTGTGCTCGTGCACGTGTTTTTGCACATATGAAGTATGAAGCCCATTGGCCAGTTATCAAGGGAAGCTAGAAGAAAACGAGAGATTTTGAGACAGAGGAGAAAGAAGGAGGAAAGGGATGCCTCTCTTCAGCTTTTTGTCACTGACAATCTCAAGAGTTTGCTGCTTTAGGGTCCAGAAAAGAATGTATTTGTCATGGTCTGGAAAGTGCCCCAGTTATAAATATCTCCAGTTAATCATGTTACAGCTTTTGGTGTTTCCCTTTTCCCTTCCCTCCAGCCAAATGATTTTTTTTAAAAAATATCACAGTTTTTAAAAATTATTTTTTCAATGTTGAAAAAATATGGAAAAGCTATTGAACAGCCTCAGGGCACACTGCCTCTCCATCTTCACAGTGAGCAGATGGATGGACAATCCACAGAGTCAAAGAGGAGGCGGGCAGCAAGAGCCCTGTGCTGAGTGGTCCCTTGCTTTACCTCCTGAGGGCCGGGGCCTTCACAGCACCCGTAGCCATGTTTTCTATTTGGATCCCGTCCCCTCCCATCAATGGAACGTGGGCTGTTGGGAAAGGCAGAGCCATGGTAACTGGAGGGTCTTAGAAGCAGAAGATGAAGGTGACAGCGGTAAGCCCTCCAGGCACTGTTGGCTGTGTGTGCTCTTGGCATCCTCGCCTCTGGATGAAGAAGCTCAGCTGCCCTGGGGAGGCTCAAGTCCCACTCCCACTTCACTTCGGGAGACCTCACCACCTTCATGCCTCTCTCCGTAGAGCTGGTCCCAGGTTCCTAAGAAGGCAATGATCCAAGATGGAGAGGCAGAGCCAACCGGCTATGTTATACAAAAAAGGGGCTATGGACAGTGGGATTTCAGAAACAAATTTAACTTTGGTTTTCCGACTTTTTCAGACCAAAAAATTAAAGCAGGGCTTCGGAGGCCTCTGTCATCTGAGAGCTGTTATGTTTCCTCATTTGGCAAGGCTAAGGCGGGGGGAAGAGAAAAGGGCTTTCCCATAATCGGTTGAAGACACAGGGTGGTAAATGCTTCCACACTTAAACTCACAGTCCAGTGTTTTTGACATTTCATAAATAGCTTTTTCTCTAAAAAAAGAATAAAACAAGAACAATCCCTTTACTTACTCATCTGAAACAAAATAAACAGCAGTGGGTACAAACTTCTTCTTGTAACAATTACAAAAAACAACAATATAATCCCAACTTTTCACACGCATCTTGAATCAGTTATTATTTTTTTAACCTCAAAACTGCAGCATATCCTTAAGGGCAAACTTTTCGATTAGTTTTTTTCTTTTTTTCTTTTTTTAAATAATGTCTTCACCAAAAAAACAGTCTTGTACCAATAAAATGCATTCAAAAATAGAAAATATTACACAACAAAAATATGTATCCTTCCTTTCCAAAAAAGATTCTTCACAAAAAAATGTAGAAAAAATTCCAACAATTTTTCCCTCTCCTAAACATTAACTTTCAGTCTAGGGCACAATTATTTATTGATTTAAATGTCTGTTTTTGCATAAGATATGGAAGATGCAAAACTTTACTGTATTAGGATTGTGAAGTTACATCCACTCCCACCCCATTCTAAAACAGAACAAAACCAGAAAAACCCAGCAAATATTTGAGCAAATAATGAACCCGTTGGCTAAGAGAAGTAACCTGTGTCTGAGCTCTCACTGTGCACATGTGTGGGGCAGCTGGCCTTGTAGTGGGTGATGCTGGAGAAGGGAGAAGGCTGGATTGAAGTGCTTTGTTAACACACACCAATTTCAGTGACTTACAGTCTTCCATGTGTGTGACTGTCACCGGTAAGCCTCAGAGAACTGTGTGAAATAGCATGAGGACCATCAGAGCACTGCCATGTGTGCATGTGTGCACTGGATACAGACATTTCTACAAAGCCTTCTCAACGTGTGTGTGTGTGTGTGTGTGTGTGTGTGTGTGTGTGTGTGTAGCTGAGATACTCCCTCTTTAATCTCTTCTGCATTCAATTTATTTGGTTTTTATTGGAATAATGACAAGATCTCTCCTCAGAAAGAAATGGCCTGTCTTCTCCACACACTTTAAACTCAGGTTCCTCTTTAAAGAGTTTTCTGCACTGTAGCTTACACTATATGTTTCTCTTACTTGACAGTATTTATCTCTCATGTGAGACATAGCTTATACATATATTTTACATGAATAGATTATTTTCCATAGCTTTTGTTTGTGTGTGTCACTTACTGATTTGTTTGCTGGTTTTTTCTTCGGGGTTTTGTTTTGTTTTTGATTTTTAAACAGTGAAATGTGTCCAATTTTATTTCCAGTGCATTAAACAAAATTTAAATTAAAAGTAGAAATAAAACATTCCCCCTCATTCTTCTAAAGGAAATGAGTGATAAAAGTACAATAAAATCAGGCATTATAAAAAAAAGCATCATGTGCAACCTCAATTACATCAAATAAAATAGACAAACAAGATTTGTAGAACAGAAGCATGAAGAAGCCAAGATAATATAATCCCAACTATGGTATGACTGGCAAGCACTGGTTAAAAATAGGTAAGGCTACTCTTAGATTTCTAACAACACAGTTAACCACTGCTCTTCATCTTTTCTCTTCATCCTTACTAGATTCTTTATATGTTTTAAATGAGCAAATTTGTTTTTATATTTTTGGTCTACAGTAGAATTACATATTAACAATATAATAAAAAGATATTTAAGTAACAGGTTGGTACTGCATCCATGTGGGGAAATAGAAAAAGAGCACTCAACTAGACATAGCAAATGGACTCTATCTTTATAAAAATAACAATAAATGTAATAGAAATTATATTTGGGGTAACATTAAATTGGAAACAAGTAGAAAATTCTATTTTGGATAATACAGAATTCTGACAAGCTATACCCTAGAATTGCAGCCTCCAAATCTTTCCCATGATTCTACCTTTCCACTCTCACTCAATATTCAAATGGAAATGGAAACAAAATGAAAATAAAGTTGACAGATGTTTGAGCCAGCTAAAACTTCCAAGTTATCAGAACTGATGATCAAGATCAGGTAGATACCCTTGGGAAGCTATCCAACCATAAGGGAGTTGCTAATAGTATTTGCTTGGTTTTAATTTTGGAAGAGTTATCATCCTACTGGTGACATATCTGAGATGAAGTATCATTCTGGTGGAGAGGACGTGGCAATAGGTGGGAGAGAGGAGAAGAAGAAACAGGTGAACTTGGGGCACTACCTTCATCTGATGCTAAAACACAGTGGCTTCATTTTGTTTCTAAACATCCTTTTGGATGAGCTACAGATCACAATGTGTGTCAGGTCATCTATTGGCATGAAATCCAGACTCACTGGCTTCCATAAGAGCTGGGTGGGTCCAGTAGATCTGTGGTACATGCTTGATGAGGCAGAGAAGGCAAGCAAAATTGTAAGGGGAGAAGCTCTTGACTAGCTAGCTCTAGCCAATGGTTGATTAACTTATGGTTCAGTGTGTGTGTGGGGACAAAGAAAAAGAATTGTTAAGAGTTGGATTTGGTAATAAGAAATGTGTAGTTTCCCTTAAGAGGAAAAGGAGAAAGATAAAGAAGGGAGGGAGAGAGGAAGGAAGGAAAGGAAAGGAGGGAAAGTAGTACTGAAGGGGAGATATGTTAAAAGAACACATTACTTTGGGTTTCTTTTAACTTTGAGTTGTCATTTTTTCCCTCTCATTCTTTCATTAAAGGAGAGCTTAGAATCTAGTGCAAACTTCTTCAAATCACAGCATTCCAGGGGCAATATCCTATCCCTTCATCCCTCCGACCTCCTCAGAAGATGGGGCAATGGTCCAGAAAAGTGTAACTGAATACATCACTTGCTACAACAAGAAAGGCACTATCATGACAGATCTGCTTCCACGGATTTCCCTTCCCATGAACATCTCAACCACCTCAGCAGTCACAGCAAGACTCCCCACACTGGAGCATCTCAGTACTGGAGTTCTCTGGCTTGTTGTCTACTTTCACATGCCATTGGCTCAGGGCACACAGAGAGCCCCAGTTTGCCGTTTCATATTGCTCATTGACTCTCTCTCATCAATGATCTTTGCTTGGTTCTAAATTATTTAACTCACTTTCTTCCATGGAAGTTTCTTTCTCTCCACAAGCCTCCAGGTTACAACTGTATTTCACACAGTTTATATTGTCAAGTAGTACTGTGTATTTTTTTAACCTTTTATGACTAACTCTCAAGTCCTAGAGACTGTTAGTAGCCCTTCTACTCTCACAATCTGTAAATACCACTGTGAACAGAAGGAGGGTGTCCTCTGTCAACCATGGGAAGCATCCCCAGGCCTGTTATGGTACTTCTGCTTGGGAGAGAGGAGGCTGGGATATGGAGAAGAAAATCTTTGGTGACAGAAAAGGAGCGAATATCCAAGTTTCAAGAAAAATTTGTTCCCCAAAGCTTGAAGAAAGGTATCCAACAATAGTCAATGTGAGGATACTTTAAAAGGCCAATTATTTCTTCTCATAGCTTTGGTTGGCTGTCCCCATGTCCTTTTAGTGCTTTCCCTGTGCATTCTAAGTATCTGTTAAGATCTCTTATTTAGAATTCCTATTTGAATATAGGAAATGCTCTGCATGCCTAAGGGGCTGCTTTAGTTCTGAATGGCCTATGTGGGGTTTAACTAGCAAGGCTAGCGCTTTTGTATATTAAGAGGAAACTTTGACTTGGAAAGGTAGACTGTGATGGATGATATGGAGGGAGGAGAAAATGACTCAACTGGGAGTTTTCCAAACTGATGCCCTCACATGGGACAATGTTCCAAGAAACTCAACATGGGTTGTGATTCTTAGTGGACAAGAGTTTTTAAAAGCTGTCATCTGGGATTCTGGAGGGGTCCCTCAGAACCCTTACACATGTTTCATTCCCCACGAAGTCTATTGCTTTTCCGGTGGTACATGATCCTCTTGCTAATAGTTACTAAAGAGCTGCCAAACTCCGGTTGCTTCTGAGATTTAAAAAGGCAATAACAATAAATTGAAAAGTTGGGGGGCGGTGCAACAGCTTTCAACTTTTAGGCACTATCAAAGTCTCTGCTTAAGGACAGTCTAGGATGGAGCAGCTCGTGGATTCTGATGACACCTCGGACCCTTCCTCCAGTTTTCTAGTTGGCCATTCACCTCACTGGCTGGCAGTGTTTATTGCACTGTTCCCTTACTGTCACCTTACAGTGTCACCACATGCATGGCCTTCCTCTTTGGTTACCCAGATCTAGGTCTTGTCAGGGATTGAAAGGATATCACAACATGGACACCAAGACCCTCAGGCACACAGAGGTGTGCTGTGTCATCTTGTGAGCCAAGGTGAAGGCTTTCCATCAGCTCAGTTAGCTTTCTTACTCTTGTGGCTCTTACTGTAAGCTTATTTGGAAACAAAATTGAATAAATTTGTTCTGAAATATCCTCAATTTGTTCTTATCCTCCACTTCCATACAATAAGAAAACAGGTTTTGTCAGCATATCAGTTTCTAGACTTGATCAAGGGTTGTTGAAAATTCCACAGATTCTCACCGACTCTGTAAAGACCAATGGAAAAGATCTCTGTCTTGTCTTTGTGAGGTTCCTAGTCTCCCAGCTCGCCTCTTTTTTCCCTTACTTGACACACTCTCCTGGCACGAGTAAAAGCATCATCTCAGTAGTGCAACGCAGTGCACTTATGCTTAGTGAAAAAAAAAAAAAAAAGAAGGAAGGAAAGAAGAAAAAAAGAAAGAAATCCCACAAACCAAAATGACTACACACTCAAAGCTCAACCGTAAATAGCTCTTACTAAAGGTTACCAGTGTTATGAAAGTGGGAAACACAGCCTTTGCCTCACACTTGTGTGATTCATCTCTTTTGTGGCTCCTGTGTGTTTCAGCTCAAAGGAGAGAAAAAGCCAGCTTGTATCTCTATATTGTTCTGTAAGACATTAAGCCAGTAGGCAGAAAAGAAAGGCCTAGAGTTTAGTTGCAATTAAGGGGATAAGTTAGAGGAGGAAAATGGCTACTCAATGCAAAGGTCAGTAGTGCTTTCACTTAATGGTTTTCTCATGTCAGGTAACTGGGACTATGGGAGATGAGTACAGAAAGAAAAGCAAGAGCCTTTCTGTTTCCTAAAACTCAGGCCTAAATTTAACTGTCCAAGGCTCTTTTTGAGTAGCAGAATCAGCTATTCTTCAAGGTCTACAAGCAGCAGCCATCTTACATAACATCAATAGGCCTGCTTTCTACATTGTTTTTTGGCCTGGCTACACAGATACAGACATAATCCACATACACAGAAATTTGCAAGGCCTCTCTCAAAATGATGAATTTTAAATTGGTACAAATAACTCAGTGACTCTTATACAAAAAGTAGAACTATTAAATACAAAGTGAATTATTATTCTAAAATGCAGATTCTGTATCATAACTCTCCTTATATTGTGCAGTTAAAAAAGAAAACATTTGCAGTGGGATTTCTTATGGAGGTTATGTCTTACTGAAAGTTGACAGAGTCAGTTTGGGACTTAGCATGTGAGTGAGTCTGGAGAAGCACTTGGTATGTGGTAACCCTTAAGAATCTGTCTCCAGTGTATCTGAACCCTCCCTTTGCACATGTGACTCTGCCTGACTGCTCCCAGCCACACATACATGCTGGCTTTTGAGGAGAATCAACGCATAGTGTCAGATTGAAAGAAGCAAGGACATTTGGCACTGTGGGGCTTTTGAAAACAAAGCAAGTGTAGACTTTCTCTGCCATGGGCTTCTTACCTATGCTTGCTGTGAAGGATGTGGACTACTAAGTACTCCCTGTTCATCTGACAACCACCATTCTTTAACAATGGTATAAAGTGGACCCTAATTTGTTATGCTGAAGCAAATTATCCTCAATGTATTCTTTGATAGGCTCCTCTAAAAACCTGAAATCTAACTCGCTGGGAGTAAGGATGAACACTAACTGCTCAAGCATCTTTGGGCATTTTCTCCTTTGATTCTATTGTGGATTCCAGCTAAGATTTGTCCCATGAAGAGCCAAGAGGAGAACAGCTACCTTTGTTTTGAAAGATCCCCTAGCTGTGAGCTAAAGCACCAAGCTACTGCAAAACCTTATCAAAGCGCTGGTCCATTCTTGGTTATCTGTGTGCACACATCACATTTGCCCTGGAGATCAGGAGCACAGCAGTCAAGGGTTTCTATACATTCTTTAGATAGTCTTGATAGCATGAACAGAAGTCATGAATCACAAGAGTATAGTTATATTAATTCTCAAATAATCAAAAAGAGATGGGAAGGAATGACAGAACAGGGGTGAGATCATTCTTTGGTAACCCTGAAAACAGGTTTTAAGAATGCAGAATTGTATCAGTTTAGTTTCATTGATTTATCCTGCTTCCCCCCCCCCCATTTCCTTCTGTTCACTTAACTGAAATTGCATTTATTTCCCAAGTTTTAGCCAAGAATTTAAATTATAGCACAAAAGCCAGGTTATAAAAAAGGTGTCAAGCTATTTGTAAGTTAAGCTGAGCTGCACAGAGTATTCTTCGGATGAAGCACTATGGCCCCTCCCTATTTTTGATTTTGTGCTTTTCTCTTTTGTGATGCTGGACATGGACACAGTGTGGAGGAGATTATCTGCTTCCATCCATCTCAGTGCCAGGGAGGGATTCAGAGTGAAGTTTAAGTGGATGTTTCCATATTTCAGACCTTATGAACATAGACAACTTAAAATGAACAGGACTGAAATTCCTACCATTCTGAAAATGGATAGATAAGATGATATTTTATTAATGCTCACTCTTTTTTTCCTTACTGGAAATTCTGTACTAGATACTATAAGAAAAATCCCAATTAAGAAAATAAATTTATCCTCAGCTTTATTCCAAAAAGGATTTGAGGAGGCAATGATGGTCTGTAGTACAAGAAGAATGACTTTCAACAGTCAGTTCCGTTCTTTGGCCCAGACCTATTCGTTTAAGTAAAGAGAGTTTCTTCTTCAAGGAATTTTTGTTTAACTATTCCATCTTTAAAGTGCAGAAAGAATTTCTCTCCTCAAAGATCTAAGTGACAGCAGAAAAGGAACACATGACTTTCATGAGGAAGGACTTCTTGTCAGAAGAGTGAAGGCTTTTCTAAGGGACAAAAGACCACTGGGGGGCAGGCAGCAGTCACCTGATGTGCAGGGACAGCATCAAGTCAGAGAATCAAAACATTTCCCTAGCTGGGTAAGAAAGACATAAAGGAAAACAAATCAACAAACAAACTCTACTAAAATACACATTCCTCCAGTTTCAGATTTCTACGAAGTTAAAATTATGATTAAGTCAAGGTTTACAGATAGCAGACAACTGTTTTAATGTGTAAAAGTACTGTCCCTTTGCTTTACCACGTTTCACTTTCTTTGAAGGAATTGCATCCATGCACACTTGTCCTAACGTCCAGTGCAGAAAATAAACTCGTTTGCTACCAGCTTCAATTCCAGAACATTATCTAATCTACATTCGCAAAACTAAAACTACTTAAGTGTAAAATGAGATGCAGGTTTTCTGAAATGTGTTGGGAGGGGTATGAAGCCTTTTTTAAAAAAAATGGGTAAAAGAAGAAAAAAATCACTTGCTAATCTCTCACATATACACCCTAGTGTTTCTGACCATTATTTTGCTGCATTAGTTACTGTTGGGGCTGTTGGTGATGTTGACAGGTGCCAGCTTGTAAAAACAGGAGGCTCCTGAGTAGTAAGAATTCACACCCTGGACCCTCTAGAATATTAAACAGGATTTAGACATTCATCTGTGACGATCTTAAGAGGTTGTGGTGAGAAATCCTGGGCCTTAGGGTTGGATCTCTTGGAGAGCCTGAAGGAACTATGGCAAGAGGGCAGCCTGGATCAACAGAATTGAATGAGATCTTTCTGATCCAGACCTCTCCCACTCCACACTGCACTTAGGATGCCTGTATCTTCTATGCCTTCAGATAGCAATGCCAAAGGACAAGAGCTCTTTTGATACAGAGTACCTCCAAAAGAGATGGCAGGAGCCCCAAATGGGAAAAGGAAGAGATGAAGGTAAGACTAGGTTGGAGGACATGCCAAGCAAAGGTCACAGTCTTCAGAAATGTAAACATTAGCCTTAAGACATGGTGGTTTCTTGAGAGATGCCTGCCTCAGGAAGGCTTCTGAACTTGCCATTTATCTCATTCCTCTCTGTGAAAATTGATGCTCCAAACTGTTTTAAACAAAAGCTGGATCAAGCCTCAAGTCGAGTGACAATACATGTTTCATATTAAGTGTAGATTTTGGGTATCAAGGTAGAGCAAGAAGTGTCTGTGCACTGCAAACTGTCTCACACTCTATCTTTGTATGAGCAGAGAGACAATGTGATATCCTAGTGAGTGAGGGCAATGTGCTAAAGGGTCAGTGTGAAATGATATTACAAGTATCCTCAAAGGGCTACACCCACAATGACTTCAGTCTTCTTCATGGAGCCCAGAAAGCCGTAATTGGAATGAGCTCCAGAATGATGGCCAAATAACATACTGTATTTATAAACTGAGTCCTGCACATCAAATCTAGTACAGGACCCAGTCAGCCTTAGTCTCATTTTTTTTAAACATATGCCATGTCAAGGTAATTTTTTTTATAAAACAAAAGTTTCAGTCCAATCAATATTTGGCTTTTCAAAAAATGTAATACATGAAGAAATGCTCTTAAACTTTTCTTACATTGCATTTGAATGGAAGTGGCTTTTGGTATGAATAGCTACCAAAGTGATTTTGAAATGTTACCCATTTCTTCAGATTCTTGTAAATCTAGTACCTGGCAATCATGTCATTGGATAAATATTAGCACAATCAGAAATAATCAACATGGGAGCTTTTTTTCCCCTCCCTTAGAAGTGGTCTACTCATATCAAGAATCTGAAAACTGTGGTATTAAAAAAACAGAAAATACTTATCTTTGGTTTAATGTAAAGGTGAGAGGAATTAATGATCTCAACTAGTACAGTTGACATTTAAAACTGTGACTCAGGTCCTCCTACTCTCAAAAGATACTGACAACCTTTAAAATCTGAAGCTGAAATGAAGACATGCTTCATTCTGCCTACGAGCCTCAAGTTTATGAACTCATTTAAAGAAAGATGCTAAGAAGAGTGGGAGAAGAAAGACATGAACGATTGGGGGGTCATAATGTAATATTTTAGGGGGAAGCATGGAAGAGATGATTGGGTAGCTCAAAGTTATCTTTAAAAAGAAACAACAAGAAACCAGGAGAATTTGGCAAGGAAAGGAAAGCAACAATAATGGAGTTGGGACAATTTACCTCATACCTGATCACTGAACGGACAGCCTCACTACCACTCAGTTCATAATCACGTTTCTCAGCTGCCAGGTCTTTCACTGAAAATAGTTTCCTACTAGATCTAGTTTAGTGTCATCGAAAGTGACTAAAGGAAAGATCCCAAATGAGTGCCAGGCTTCACAAGTGGAAGATGCCAAGGAGACTTTGGGTGAGCTGGGGTCAGAGACACTGAATAGGCACAGCAGAATGTGATGAGACTCAATAATTGATGATGGAAGACTGAAGGCGAAAGTGGTCTATTCACACTGAGAAGCCTAAATACTGGCCCACCACGGGGAGGTTCTATACTTCATTTTGTCCTGAATACACAGTGTGGAGAAGGAGATGGGCTTCAGTTGATCTGATTCTGACGTCCAGGCTTTTGGTGGGATAGCAGAGGGCAGCTGAAGAAAGTTTTGATTTGAAAAGATGACCTGAAAGTGCTTCTGTTAGAAGACAGGCTATCTGATTTCTGAATGTTCCCTTGGTGGCCTGGCTAGAGAAGAAAGCAAGTAGAGATGTTGAGTGCCAGGTAACCAAGAACCACTAAAGTATGGGGTCTACAGGCTGGAAAACATCATATATGTTTTTGAGTTCTGTTAATAAAACGTTTCCAGAAATGTGGTTTTAGTTTAAAAATAAATCTCCTGGGAAAATGAATAGTGTATTTCCAAAATGCCTCCAGGGAAAGGCTGAAGACTAATGAAAATAATGCAGGCATAACAAAAAGAGAGAGCAGACGGTAAAGGATCAATACTGAAAACTAGTGTTCAAAGATATAGTCGGCAGAGTGAGGCATTTCCTTGTCTTTGCCTCTCACCAAAACAGCCCTTTGAAATGCAGCTTATGATAGCTGGTCAGATAATGTGACAGACAAGAATCTCCTTGGTCTTACTTTCTAAAGCAAGTACAGATGATGGTGGTGCTAAAGGGGGAGATGACAGACACGTGTGTTCATGGGTACAACCTTTGTTCTTCACATGTTGACACGGTGTTAAAGAAGCTCACATGGAATATGAACTTCTTTGTATAAGCCACAGCAAAATAATTTTTTTAAAGTTGAAACAGCTTTCACTTTCCTACATGTGCTAAGCTTTAAAAAAAATCCTAAAATCTTCTAAAGACAATACTGAAGGTGATAATATAGAAAGCAAACTAGAATCTTCTAAAGACAACACTGAAGCTGGTAATATAGAAAGAAAATTGGAGCCATAATGAAAATTAATGCGCCAGATTAACTGCATCAGGTGGTGATGGGTGATATATATGAAGAAATGACATCTCAATCAACTCATGATCATTGGCAGACTCAAGGTTAAAATGAATACAATGGACTATATTTCAATATAGAGTTGCTATATATAATGCGTATATTCTAGGTTTCAGAAACACTGCAATGTAGTGTATTGTACTTAAGTAAGCATACCTAAATAGTAACCATAGTCTTCCACAGAGCCACTAGTACTGTTAATTGAAACAATAAAAACAAAAACAAGAAATGAACTTTTTTTCCAGTAAAAAGAAATACTGTGGTTATGGTCACAGACTTCTTTTGGATACAGAAAGACAACACACGTTTGAAAAAATAATAACCAACAAAAATAGTTGCAATTGTAAGTAGCCTTACAGCATAGGGGAAGGGAAAATGTCACTAAAACATAAGAGGAAAGAAAGGTCCTCTGAATTCTGTAAAGGAGAAACAATCTACATATTACAAAAAAGGGGGGGGGGAGAACGAAACCATCTAGTAAAAGAAGGGCATTGGAGTGAGAAAACTAAATCCAACTGTTTCCAGGTCATCAAGCCATCAAGCGTTACCTATGAGAGCTAAGTCCAGTCATTCAATATATTATATTAGAGTAGCATTCTACATTAATGTCTGACATAGGCAAGAGACACTGATTCTTACAGATTCCCTTCAAGATAGCCCTCTGATATTCTATTGGTTTGCTAGACATGGTAAATAGCCCATTCTGGAAAGACTCTGGCGAAGGCCACCCTGGTCAGGAGACACAGCTTGTGAATGACAGTGATGTCCTGCAGATGCAGGCAGCATCCGGGAGTTTCAGTTTGGAAGCAGGACTTCCATGTAGTTCCTGTGTGTGAGGGTGTGCACATGCTACAAGCTGAGACTTCATGCCTGGGGCTAGGCTTTATCCACGATCTGCAGACCATGCTCCTTCTCTAAAGCCTCCAAGGTTCCCGAGAAGACAGGAATGGCCTTTGAGCTCAGGCTCAATCCTGGGCTGCCTGGGTGCTACCTGCCTGGGTGTGCCTCTCCTCTGGGAGTCCTGTGAGGTGCCTTGGATGGCCCCCTCTGGTCTGCTGCCTGGTTGAATATGTGTACTCCACCCTCTTCTGGAGGGAAACAGCCTGTCCCTGTGGGTTTGCTGTGGAGCCAACAAGCTGCCTTTGTTTCTCCTAACTCTGAAATGCTACAAAAAGCAACAGAGTGGGCAGGTGACTGCTTCCTGGGAAGAGAGCCATGAGTCTGAGCACAATGGTAGAAGAGGCAACTGTATCTATGCACCAGGAACTCTGCCTGTGTGTGTTTCATCTGAGGGATGTACACACACTCAGACAACATAACTACACAAACATACAAATGTGTGTAGTCTTGTGCACACACACACACACACACACACACACACACACACACACACAGGTAAATCCACAGAAGTGTAGCATTTGTTCAAGTTTCTCCTCAAAAGGCTATGCACAAACTACTGACAGTTGGGCTACTTCCCCATGCTCTAAAGCCTCATCATACATACCAATGCACCCAACCAAGGTAACAGAGCAGAAAGCAGGTGTATGACCAGTGGCAGGCCTCGGACTGTAGCTGGAAATTTCCAAGTCTATGCTGTTGTCAGTGGAGAATATAAATGAAGTGTCATGGCATAAGAACCTCACACCAACGCATACACATGTATAAGGTGCAGATATTCTGGCCAGCAGCTGTGACAAACTGGATGGGTTAAGCCACTTTTGCTATTAGCATCTGCGTGCAAAAGACTGATGCTTCGGGCTCTAACAACTGCTGCACAACAGTAGAAACAGATGTCTCCTGGGGGGGTTAATTCTTTTCTCTCTGCTGCAGGAGTATGAGAATCTCATGGAAGTACTCTGAACCAAGAAACCTCTCAATTCGCAAGAGATCCAAGGGGAGACTGACTATTTCCAGGCATTGTTGAGGCTGGGACCTCATGACTGGGGCTTGCTTTTGTCTGTGATATGCAGGTGATGCCTCTTTACTAAAGAATTGAAAGTTTTGATTCTGCATTTAAACAAAGACACACAAGAGAAACCAAATACACTCCAGAACTGAGGTGGAACAAAGTGCAGACTGTAGAGATGCTGATTCTATAAAAAAAAAAAAAGAAAGCTGTGTGTTGGGATCGTTCTCCCAGTTAAGGAGACATTTAAGAGTCATCCAGGCACCTGTGATTCTGTTTAACGGGACTTGCTACTTAGCAACATGCTTATTTTATATTCAGCCTCGACCTACCAATGAAATAGAGTAGACAGGAAATAGCTGCTTCCTGAAAGCAGCCGGTTCCCCTACAAGTTTGGTGCCTCCCCAGGAAGTCACTGTTTCCATAGTCCTCAGTCATGAATAGAGCTTACTTTTTTGTGATTATGGAACCATTAAAAAGCAAGAAGTGCCCCTATCTCCATAGCCTTTCATTTCTGTATTGTTTGTTTGCTTGCTTTTTTTTCCCCCCGGGGTTTCTAATTTAAGGCAATAATTCTACAACCTAACACTTTCTTGTGAAAATTCCTTAGCTGATGTTACTTCAGTATTTAGTCTGTGGAGCAACATATAGGGTCTAAAGAAACCACAGGGGAAGGGCAGCTGTCAGTCAGCTAAAACTCTAGTTTTAGTCCTGGGCCTTTCTACTCCTCCTTCAGTGAGGAGGAGACACTTGGTTCTGAAAAAGAATTTGTGCCTTGCAAGCCTTCATCTTTGTCTCTTCACCTTAGAGTGAATGGGAAGTTCCACAGCCACTCCTGGGACCTGGTAATGCACACCACTTACTGCTGTGGGTTCAGTGGTCAAGCAGAAAAGCATCTTGAGAAACTTAGAGACCTCCTTGGGGGATTTGGCTTGGGCTGTTCATCGTGCCAGAAGTGATGTTTTGTGTTAGTAACTTCCACATGTGCAACTTTACAGGAACACAGCCTGTCTCTTGTGGAGGTTTAAGATGTATTGGAAATGGTAACTCTGCACACAAAGCCCTTGGGAATACTTAAGGATTCTCATGTATGGGCTGAAGCTCTTCTGGGACAGCATGAGCACAGGGCAAAGCTTGATTTTGGAAGCTTGCCCCATGCCACCTATTTCCCGGGCACCTAAGAGAACAGTCCCTTTTCTGTATGAAAACACAGAATTAAGGAGGAGGTTGCCAGGGTCCCAGTTATGCCCAGCCCCAGAAAGCTAGCAGCCAGGTCAGCTCAAGCACTCTGTCCCCTCCCAGCAGACTAGGAGTCTGGAGCTGGGAGGCTCTTGGGTAGCTTTGCTATTTTTTTCTTTTCTATCCAATTGGGGAGTCTATTGAAATTCTAGTGTCCCCTTTCTTTTGTTTGTCACCAACTCACATGGTTCTGTCTTTAGTGTCCTATTTTTCTTTTCTGTCTTTTTAAATTTTTTTTCTTTTTTTCCCCAGGGGACAAAATTGGCCATTTAAATAAAGTTCTTTTCTAGTGAGTAAAGAGGTTTCTCTGAGCCAGAAATCACTCAAAAGAAAGTCTGCGGACCCTACCCATGGAAAAGGCTGGAAGTTTCCCTAAGTGCCTCTTGCCAAACTTCCTAGCTTTGTGATTGGTGTTTTCTGGTTTGGTATTGTTGGGTACTGAATACATTGTGCAATTCTTTTGTTCTCTTCCCCCAGAGCTTCCATTACCCTGGACTTCAACTCATTACTAAGTTAAAGAATTCTTTTTGGAGGGTTTCTTTTAAGAGTCAAGCCACAGCAGAGAAGGTACCCACCCTCTGTTCTCTTCCCCTACAGGATATCTTCTGTCTGCTCCTGGCCTACACCTTTTTGTTCCCTTTGCTGCAGCTGCCACACTGGTCACAGCAGAGCCAGTCTGATGTGATCTTCTGTAGAACCATATTATTCCCCATGACCAACCCTAACTAATCAAACAACTTCTTCTGCAACATCGGGAAGGCTCAGAATGGACATATCTGCTATGCATCCTGGCCAGAATCACCTCACTTGGACATTCCTCACGGCACAGGTGTTGGGAGTTAGAGTTATTTTAAAGGATTGCAATAGAAAAGCAACAAGGAACTTTGCTGTATTTTTCTGGGGACCAGAGAGGTTTTATGAGGCACCACTTCCTTTTTAACTTTTATGCTGAAAGAAAACACTGCTTTGGGGGCAGCAGGACCGTGCTGGTGTGGGAGATGGAAGCACACGTAGGTGACGACAGGAAGACTGACAGGGAAACAAGCATGCCCAGAGGAAACCTTTTCTTGCTCACTCAGACACAGACTCACCCTGTTCAGGGGTTGGAAAGGGTTTTCTTGATCTTACATGATATCATGATAAAAAATGAAGCTCTCTGACTTATAGAGAAAGAGGCAAACCCATGTCTTTCTAAGGCCAAGAGCTACTGTGACCTCTAGATACAGGAGGCAGGAACAGTACACCTGAGGCATGAGCCACGGTTATGTACCACCCTCATTCCTGGCAAACAGAACTGGGATGGGAGAGCCTGCAACATGGCTGTGAGGAGTGCACGTCTACAACAATGAAGAAACTTTGATATACATTCTCATTTCAGATTGCGGGAGACTTGTTTCTCATTTGTTTGTTTTTAATTGTAGAACTGAACATCCATTAGTTATAATTATGGTCTTTTGGGGGGGTTATTTTACAGGAAGGGGCTCTTTTTGTACAAATGTTGGTACTTAGTACAGGAAAAACTACCCACATGCTGAGACACTATCAATGTTTTTAGTGCTAGGGAATTTAATTTTCATAATTTCTATATAAACGTGTTGAGACAAACATTCTTCAGACATTTTTTCTGTTTTTGTATTCAACAAATTCCATTTAAAAATCATAGATTGTTTTAAAAATTATCTTCTTCTGCATACCAGCTCTTGTTCTTTGTGCTTAAGGTCTTCTGCCTAGAACATCTGCTTCTATCACTCTGTGTGTGTGTTTTCCTGAATACTAAAAAGACCTTTTTTCTTTTCTGGTTTTAAAAACACTTTCAGCATCCATCATAAAAACTTCAGGACTGGAAACCAAAAATTAAGAAGACTCTTCCTGGCCCCTCTGTTACTTGTGATTTCGAGACAGCGATTGTGCATGGGCAATCAAGCTCCTGTATCTTTTGGAATAGGAGCAGACAGGACTATATTCAAAATTGTGGATCAGTCAGAAAGCAGCCCTTTAAAGGCTAGATAATGCCATTAGCCCTGAAGAAGCATCCTTGCTTGAGGGCTCTCATGCCAATATAGTGGCCTCCCAGTTCTAGAGAACAATGTCAAATGTTTTAGGTTGTGAGATCTTTGGGAGAAAAATAAATACAACAGAATGAGCTAGACAGTAGGGCCTTACCAAAATTCTTTAGGGACCTCCCCACCCTTTTTAAAAGGAGGCAATCCCTTTAATAAGAAAGGGGTGTACACCAGGGTTTCCAGTCACCTGCTCTTTTCCTCAGTACTCTACAACAGATGTTGGAGTTTTAACCCACTTGCTTAGCTTCTGACAATGGCAAATGAGCGTTAAGGCAAATGGGTCTCTTTCATATTTAAGAAGTAGATGGGGAAGTGTAGCCCAACAGCCCTCAAGATAAGTTTTCCCAGAAACAATATGAATTCTGCTACTTTGCTAAGGTTTGAATAGAAGCATTATTTTTAAATGCACCCCTGACAACAGAGAAAGTAACTAAAACTAGGTTTTGACCTTCTTTCGTTTGTTTTATATGATAAGTGATTTCATGTCTTTCTTTCTTTTTCATCAGATTAAGGAAAATTATCACAATGTCAGTCTTTTTTTTTTTTTCTAATGGGTTAAATTACACATTTTTGAAATTATCAAAATGATTCTACGATGTAGTTACTTAATGCTCCCTCTATTGGTGGTAAGGAAACATGAAGTCACTACTGGGGTGGGGTGAGGTGGGGTGGGGTGGGGAGGGAGTCCTGGCACATTTTAAACACAGATCACACACATTCTTGGTTGTCCTCTTAGAAATCAAGATGAGTGGTCCTCAGTAGTCAGCTAAGCATCCAAATCCACATTACAACTTCTAGCAAAATATCCCCTGAATGAAGCACCATAAGACCGACTCAAACTCCACAAACACTCCAGTTGCACAAACTACTAAACACCACAAAGAACATATGGAAAAGATCCAAGTTAACCAATTGTCTAAAATATATGAATAAAACCAATTTAGTCATTAGAGAGTTGCTTGCCTTGGAAAAATTTGCCTCTTTTGCTGCATTTTTTTTTTTTGTAAATAAAATGCTAACAGGAAAATTAGGAGGAAAATTAAATTAAAATGTAGAGCAATTTAGAAACGAAAATATCCTCTCTTTTCTTCTTTTTAAAAATGTAGTTTGATATTCCTGCATTATTGGAATATTTACTTTTCCTTTTAAGTATGCTAAAACATGCCCAGTCATGAAATTACTTTTCCAGTATTAGCTAGGTTTAAAAAGTCCTATTTTTCCCTTGAGGACACTGTATAAAATTGGAAAAATCTTAGGGTTTCTTGATCAAGACCAAGGAGAGAGATCTCAACTAGAAAGAGTGGCACCTGGGATAGTGCCCAAGATCCAGGGCCTTTTGAAAGCTGGCTGTTAGCATAGGGAAATTGGGTTACTAATCGACTAAAGAGGGACCACCCTACTTGACCCTCTTAGCCATGGTGGGAAGAGTCCAAAGGTGATGTTTAAAGAAAGAAAGGAGTTTTGGCATCGACGCATTGTAGTTTGTAACAGACTTCTCATAGTGACGTTTACACAGTGGAGGGTAGAGTTTTGTAGAGTCCTCTTCCTGGCTGACCATAAAGGAAACAAACCCCTTTGTCAAGATCTCTAGACTACTAGTGTTTCATCAAAGAGAAAAAGCAAGGTAAATGGAAATTCTAGAATCCTAAGAGCTCAGTGAAATTTTGGAGAAGAAATCTGCTAAAGGGTCATGTCCCTCCCACGAAAAAGGACAGAATTCTAGATGGATCGATGAAAAAAATATTCAGTGGAGCAACTTAAGCTTGCTAGAAGTCAAAGATCTACACAGCAAAACAGAGCAGCAGCTGAAATTACAGCAGGGGTGGGTGGGCCTCTCTGGCCCTCAGCAACCCAGGCAATACTTAAAATAATAAAAAACTAAGAAAAAAATATGAAGAAAATATCCTTCCTCTCTTTCAAATATAACTTTAGTTGCCTTTTATTCTTTCTATCTGGAAGCAGTATCGCTAACCTTAACAGTCTTGACTTACCAAAATATATATATATATATATATATGTGTGTGTGTGTGTGTGTGTGTGTACACGAGAAGGGACTGGCGGCAGTGTATGCAAACCCAAAATGAGAAAAAATTACTTTTGACAATCTTACTTTTTTGTTTTTTTTTTACACAAATACTGTTGTAAATATATTTAAAAAATCAGCATTCTATCTGGTAAACATCACTTTTGCCCCTCTATAAAATTTTGAATTAAAAAAGCCTCAAGAACTTTTATCGTTCCCCCCACCCTCCATTTCTCTTTCTTTTTCTCTTCCACAAGAATATATCCTGACACTTTTTTTTTTGCAAAGGTTGTTGGAAATAATCCTTCTCTTGTACCTAGAAACATAAGTGTGAAATCTGTTATCATTTTCTCTGCATTCCTGCCTTTCATAAAAGTCCCTCCTGATTGCGCTGAGGCTGCAGCTCAGCGAAGACACTGAATAAATACGATAGCCACTGTTGCTTGTTGCTTGTCCAAGTCTTCTGGCTTCTGCTGAAAGTGTGTGTGGGGGGGATGTGAAGGAGTTGGGCCAGGGTGTGGACCTGGCAGAATTGGGGAGAAGCCTGCCATGCCACTTTCTCCCCACACCACTGGGCTCACTGCCCCCTCCCATCCCACAGCCCTTTAATAATGTAGGTGGAAACAGCAGGGCCTTTCCTCTCGGTTTTCAACCAGAAGTGATAATCCACAGTTTTAACTGGTTACTGTGAAGTCCAAGTGGCCAGAATTGTGAAATGTCCACTGAAACACTGTGAGCGGTGTACTTAAAGACAGCAGGCCTTTTACATCTCCTTATAGATTTTGTAGTGCTCTTCATGAGTGGAAAACAACTTTTTCTTTTTTTTTTTTTAAACTTTTTAAAACTTTTTTAAAAGATTTTTTTGTTTTGTTTTTGTTTTTTTGTGTGTGTGGTTTTTTGCTTTTTTTGTTTTTGTTTTGTTTTTTTGTTTTGTTTTGTTTTTTTGTTTTTTGTAAAGAAGGGTTGTATTTAGAGGCCAGTAGCTAGAGATCCAACCAGTGGACCTCTTGAAGCACTACCAGGCCTTAAGGCCACCATCCAAGGGAGACTGGGAAAACTATTATTCACCCGAGCCTCCAGAAATGTAATGTACCAGCAGGCAAAATACAGTTCTTCATGTAGTACAAAATAAAACGGAACAAAAACAAAAACAGAAAGTAAAAATGAAACCAAAACATTTCTTAAATTCTAGTGCCATAGCTTTTTGTTTGTTTGTTTGTTTATTCTTTTGTTGTTGTTTTGTTTGGTTCGTAAGAAAGAGAGAAAGGTACTACTTATCCGTCAGACACATGCATCCTCATGTGGTCGTTGAACTGCTCCATTTGGTCAAACTTTGCTGGGCAGACGGAGCAGACGTAAGTGGTCCCCTCAGTGCAGGCCACCACGCCTGGTGGGCCGGCGCGGGCACCTGGGGGCGTGCCTGCGGGAGGGGTCCCGTTGCTGGCACTGTGCAGAGCCACGTGTCGCTCCAGCAGGGTCTTGTGAGAGAACTTCTTTTTGCAGATATAGCACTCATAGGATTTCTCCCCGCGGTGCAGGCGCATGTGCACATTGAGGGAGCTCTTCTGGGTGAAGCGCTTGTTGCAGATGCTACACTGGTAGGCTCTCACTCCTGTGTGTGTTACCATGTGCTTGATAAGGTAATCCTTCAAAGAGAAGGAGCGCCAACAGATGCTGCATTGGTGGGGCTTCTCACCTGTTGATGTGGGAGAGACAGCAAGAGAACAGAACAAGACATGGCCAAAGTGGGAGAAGGAGAGACAGAAGAACAAGACAACAAAAGAGAAAAACAAAAAATTAAAAAAATAATACATTTGATTGGTTCATGGATCATCATCCTTGGTTGGAAAGATCTAGGCCTTCCTGGATTTTCTTGTTCAGAGCAAGGAAGCTTGCTTTAAGGATGCCAGGAAAGTCTAGACTTTTCCATTTCCCCATGACCAAAAGTGGCTCTCTTGGAAATTAACAGCATACCCAACTTTTTTTTAAAAAAGAGAGTAATTCTCGGTACCATTATTAAAGATTTACATATTTCCAGTTAATATTAGCCAACAAATATAGGAATATCTTTGGAGGCAGGACTATTGATCACATAACTTGGCTCTTTTTGGAAAGTCTCCATTTCCACTATTTGGCCTAGTAAATGTCCCCATTACTGACTATAGGCCTGGGCTACTGGTCTACATGTTCAGTTAATCAGTGTCTCACAAAATCTTCCTGGAATGAAACCTAAGAGTGAACTGGCTGTTGTGAGTGAACTGGTTAGTGTGCAGATTGGCCTCACTGGCTGTGGAAGCTGAACAGACAGATGGTGGACCACTGTTAATCTCTGCGTCACATGGCCTTGTTCAAGCACAGGCACCAACGCACTGTGCATCATTCTAACAAATCACCAAGAGCCTCTGAGGTATATAGTCCTACTTACCTCATTGTGACGGTGTTGACATGAAATACATATGGAATCAGTTTGTAGACCACCAAGGGCGGTGTGGGAATACTTGCATGGCATTCTTATTACAAGGCTACATCCTCCCCCATTAAATGGTTCCATATGTTTTTTTGAACTTTTAGGTCAATTTCTAAAATAGTTTTTTTTTTTTCTGTCTATTTTTTTTTTCTTAGCCAACTGGCACAAGCCCTTCTTTCTTGTGTGCTTTGTCTACCACTGGCTCTGAAACCAAATGATCTTGCTAGTTAAAAATAGCAAGGCGAGACTAGTCACTGGATGGTGACATGAGGGACCCTTCTAGAAGAAAAGCCTGTCAGTCTGGGACAACACTTTGGATAATTGCTTAAAGACTAGTTTTTGTTAGTAGTACTGGCTTTCAACACTTGCTACTTTCTGATTTTGATGGTTGGTATGAACTCTCTAAAGGGCATGGCCCACCTCTTCCACCTCATTACTGATAGCCTGAAGTAGGCATTTGCTTCAGAGTTGCCCAAAACCTCAAGTCTGAGACCCTCTAAGGTAATGTTTCAGGCATCTGAAATGGGCAGCAGGACAAGGGATGTGCTCCTCAAACTGAGTTAACCCCCATTTACACAAGGGCCTTGACCATTGTTCTCATCTTTACATTGGGAAGGAGCTTGATGTGTCATGGTAACGATAGCAATAAAACAAACACCTATGCACTGGATATTTATTACACCAGCTGCTGGAGCAAATGCTTCATATTTATGTTTCACCTTGTGCAACTTTCTCTCGAGACAATTTTCTTTCTATTTTATACATCAGGGGGCTTGAGTTGAAGAATTCTAATGGGGAAGTATGATGTACAGGATCCCAGGGCTACAAGAGAATAATTTAATTTTTAGATTCCAATAGGAGAATCTGGGGAGGACTTATTGCTAATAAGGCCAGCTTGCTAAAGAGCTCAGCCTATGCATAGTGTTTACATTGGTAAAGCTTTTGTAAATGAGAGATTCCCTTAAAGATAATCATGCGTGCTATTTTCAGTTGAGGCATTTCTGTCAGCTGTAAACATGCTTGCAACTTAGCTGGTCTTTGCTATCCTTGTGCTTTCAGTACAATTTATAGTGGCTATGAGAAGCTGGCCAACTATCTCTTAAAACATGTCCACCTGTCACCTTTAATGGGAAGCCTGCCTTAAATTGCAGATGGTATTTTGGCTGGTAGGAAGGTGAAACTCCCTGTTAAAATGCTCTTGCTGTTTGCACCTTTCACCTCTGACTGCTTTTCCTCCAGGCAAGGTCACTGATCAAGGCTCTTTCCTTTCACACCCTTCTCATCCAACTAGAAATTGATTCTTCACAGTTGTCATCTTGCCCTCCATCTCATATATATGTACGTTGTTTGTATGCATGTAGTATGGTTATGCCAGTAATTACTTGTGTGACCCTGGGCTTTTTAAGTGTTTTCATCTCTCTGGGTTTGTTTTGCCTTCTGTAAGTGACAAATTGGACCAAACCCTTGCTGTGGCTCTGTGGATTTACTGGTCTTCATTTTAGGGTGGTCCACAACCCCGAGGCCTCTAGTCCTGGCCTTGTCAGCAAATGACCTGAGGGCAACCTGCTTAATTGCTCAATACTTGGGCAGTCCCACACTTTTAAATAGGGCAAAGTATCCGGTGATCTACCCTGCCACAGGGAAATGGAGTGCTAATGAGAGAAGTGGCAGAAAGCCCCTGGGAGCCTCTCTGAGGGAGGTGCTCTCTAGTACTCCAGAGCTGAGATGATGGAGCTGGGCATTTCAGGGCTTGCCTGACTTTTCACTGCAGCCATCTGCCCACACCTGCCCTTCTTATGTGGAAGGACTTCAAACTTCACTCATCAGGAATCATAACATTTCCTTATCATCTTCCTTTCCTACATATTACTTTATCGAACCTTAAAGGCAACAGGGCACTAATCATGAAGTGATTGGTCTGAAGAATGTGGCTCTCCAAGTGGAGAAACGTGAGGTGAAGATGATAAACAGTCACAGATGGCTTTCTGGGTTTGAGCCTATGGTTCACATCAGCAAGTCTTGGCTGTTAGGAAAGGTCACAAAATGCAAAGAGCAAATCTGAACCATAACACGAAGGACAGCAGGCATAAGGAGCCCTTTACTTTAAAGTGACCCATTCTGAAGGACTCAGATGAATTCTCTTTCTTGGCTAAGGGACCTGGGCATGTTATCTAAGCTCTTTAAGCCTTGGTTTCCTTATCTTTATCTTAATAATAGCTCCAAAAGTACATATGTGAACTTGTTTTGAAAAATGATGAGGCACTTAGCACAAAGTACAGGTCATTTTAAGGAAAGCTAAACTGTTCCATCCAGCCTGCAGGAACCGAGGATAAAGTAAACCAACTGAGAAGTCACTTCACTGCACAAGAAAGTAAATCCTGAGTTAAACAAAAGCCAAACCAAAACAAAGCAAATAAATTTTCAGATGATCCCTAAAGCAGGCTCTTCTGGTGGAAGCTAGCAATTAAAAGTGAAGCATATAGCCTACTCTTACTTAACCATGTTAATGAAAGAAGTGATCCTACAAACAAAGTATCAACCCAAAGCACAGGCAGGGTATTTCCTGCCCATCAGCAACTGAGCACTGGAGGCTGAGAAGCCAACCAGCACGGGAAGAACCAAGGGAGAGGCTTATACTGGCTTTTTGAGGATGGAGTGGTGAAAGTTTATGTTTTGCTCAGTTTTTCAATGCCAGCTCTTTAACTCCTCAAGGACCAGCTCTGACACTTATCTCTATTATGACAGGCAAGGAGAAACAGAAAGAGGAAGATAATGACTAGTAAGTAGGTATAGAGGGTTCACACCATTTCAGTGGAAGCCATCGTAACAGGCTGAGGCATCCTAAGTCTGCATTGTGATCTTAGCACTGGGGGCTCAGCAAGAACTCATTTATTCTACTGATTATTTCTTATTCTAGTCAGGCTTTTCCTGGGCTGTGTAAAGGACAGTACATGCAATTTTCAGCTCTACCTGTGTCTCCCACTGTCTCTGCCTCTCCATCTTCTGCTGTAGCACAAAATACCTACCCTCTTTTCGGTGAGCACAGTGGGGATTGTTGGAGGTCAGAAAACCAAGACAGGATGCTTGGTGAGGAATAAAGCAGCAAGGAAGGTAGGAGACGAGAGAATAGAGGTGTTCTGGGAAATACAGGTCCACCAAATGGGAGAAATGAAGACTGGACCAGAAAACAGGAAAAGGCTTGGTACCAACAGTGGGTATGTTCAAACCCAACAGCGTGGTGATTTCACTGGCTGCACAGCTGCTCTCCATCCAGAGGAGAAGGAAGACATGTAGTAACAGGAAGAGTTGGTATGGTCCCTGCTGGCCTTTCTGCCTAGTCCCTGCTGGCCGTCTAGGAAGGACTGCCAAATGGGGATATACACATTCACAAACTTCTTTGGCTTCACTGACAATTCAGGTATCTTGGTGGTAAGCAGAATTTTAAATACCCAGGGAACTTTGTCTATATTGTCTGACCTCTTAGAGTGGTATGAGTGAGGTGGATATTAATACCCCAGAAAATGGTATCTCCTGTTACTTTTGTGCTAATATCCCCAAGATCACCCAACAAATGAACAATAGCTTAGAGAGTAAGTAAGGTAAGCCAGCACCTACCCTGCTAATTCCCCTTCCCACTGTGAGTAGTTCCTTCCCCTAGATCTTTCTGGAAAATGCATGATGTTTCTGTAGTGTCTATCCTAAGTGGCTGTGATAATGTTACAGCATTTATAGTCCACTGCTTTTGTAACTATTACTTAATTTTCAGAGTAATCTATTATTAAGACCAAAAAAACTGTGATACAGGTTCAAACTAGAACTTCAAGTCACTTAGAGTAACAAAGTGGTAAAACAAGGCTTTAATCCTCTAAAACTATATTCACTATCTTGACAGGACAAGTCAAACACCGTCTTGTGTCTCCCTTGCTAACACTGACATGTTATAGCTATTACTCTTTGCACACTGAATTCATGGCTGAAAAAGCTGAGTTTCCAAAGAAATGAGCAGAATTATCTTAAGTGCAAAGGATATCAATGGGCTAAAAAGCATCACCAACGAATGGGCTGTTGATAATATGATTCAGAAAAAAAAAAGCCAAAGAACCATAATTTGTTGGTGAGAAACCACAAGTGGGAATGTAGATACCCCACAATATATTCTAAAACTATTTTTTTAAAGAAAGAAATCTAAAAGTCGTGCAGAGAAAAGAATGCATTTATGTATAAGTTCCTTGAATTAAGTTCTCCTGGAAAGCATGTCCACATTTTTGAACATTCATTTACATACTCACTCAACAAACATTTGCTAAGAAACTACATATGCTAGCCCATATCCATTTATAGATTTTTTTTAAGTAAAATGCCCTAAGTTTGGATCTTAAAAGAAAGTTCCACCTGGAGTTTCCAGATAAAATATATGACACCCTGCTATGTTGTTTGCCTTGATATCCATGGCAACACCAACTCTGGCTTCTGATCCCCCTCTCTTCTTTATTTTGACCTCTGTTCTATCTCTTGATGAGAAAAGTGAGGAAGAACCCTGCTTTGTCCCATGAAGGATGGCTGGTGCTACCTTTCTTTTTCTCTATTTCCTTTGCTACCATGTTTAATATTGAAATGCAGATGTACTTTCCAAACTGACAGTGCCAAATAACTCTAGAATGAAAGGGCAAAGAATTGTTTTTTACAGAACTAAATGCCTTGTTGGCATAGGTATAAGACTCTTTTCCAGATGTGTCTGTATTATATACATTTTAAACAGCTTCAGAATTTACTGAGGACCTTAGTCATTTACTGCATTGTGGGGACCACACTTTGAATACAGCTCAAGTTTATAAGAATGACTTTATCTATAGCTGTTTGCTTCTGTATATAATAGGTGTGCAAAACCATTGCTGATTTTTATCACAGGCAAAACCACTTATTTGGATTAACTACAAGATTCCTTGGTGAATCTACTGGAGAAATGCATTTATATATTGAAAAGACAACTTGGAGTAGGACAAGTGTTTTATATTGCAAATTTAAGACCTATTTCAGCACATAATCTAACGGGATCTGTATGTTTCTGTATGATGGGACTGTAGAAGACACTCACTAAAGAGGAAAGAAGATATGTACATGATCCAAGATGAACAATGCCAACTTTGGCTAAAGAGACACTTGCACATGTGGCTCTCCCACTTCTGCTAATTCTTAATTTTCATGGCTGTTAAATCTGCTGTTTTTTGGTGGAAAGGATAAAACTACTTGAGAGCACATTTACCATATAATACTCCATAACTAAAAAAATGAGAGCACATTTACCATATAATACTCCATAACTAAAAAATGAGAGCACATTTACCATATAATACTCCATAACTAAAAAATGCTGTTTGGTTAACTCACTTGATTGATTTCAGGTTATCCCTGCATTTTCCTTTGCCCTAAGTAAACATAGTGACTTATCACTACCTAATTTTCTTTCTTAGTTCAGTAATGAATCTCTATGTTTATTTGGAGGTGTGAAAACTAAAATTTAAGCACAAGTAATTGACATAAAGCCACATATACTTAACATCATGCCCTGCCTTAGACTGAACTACAAAGGAGGCAAAGTTCAGCTTAGGCAATGTTTCAGTTGCTCAGTTGCATATATAGTGTTTTTATATATCAATGGCTTCCCTTTTCTTCCAGTTCTCTATTGAAATGTACATGCTTTATACCCTTATCTCTTAGATTTGTGCTAGCCTGATGAGAGATATAAGCCTGCTCTGAGGAGTGAATTCCTCCCCACCCCCTGCATTACAATTCAAGTATGTAAGTACTCCCTGACAAATGATTTTATTTAACATAACTATTCTAGACTCAAAACTTTGCCAGGAAGAGTAGCTCTTGTAAGAATTTCAAATATTATGATTGTTGTTTCAGTCCTTGATTTTAGTTCTAAGAGAACCTATGTGAAGCCATAACCACACAGATGATCTCTAGTTTCTATAGAGCTAGGGAAAGGGCAGGCTCAGAAGTCTGCAGATCTCTATCTCTGGAGTGGTGGAGTCCAGGGAACCACTATCTCTCCCAAGTCCTCTGGGCAGTATCTGTATGAAACAATCCATTCTCTCTTCAAATTACAGGAGTCCAGTCCTTTGGAGAAGCAAACAGCTCAGAGCAGTTTGGCCTGTTCAACCTTTTATTTAGTTGAAAGACTCTCTGTAGAGCTTTCAATGGCCCAATTCTTTTTTTTTTTTTTTTTTTTTGGAGACAAATAGAATAAACTTAATGTCTCCTCTTCCCAGCCATCTTAATAATAATGGTAATAATAGGTATAACTTATACAGTACTTACTGTGCTAGGAACACCTTTAAATCACATGTGTTAATATAATTCTCAGAAGCAGTTCAAGGAAGGAGCATTAGCAGCATTACTACAACTCTCTCTCTCTCTCTCTCTCTCTCTCTCTCTCTCTCTCTCTCTATCTCTCTCTCTATCTCTCTCTCTCTCTCTCTCTTCTGTCCTCTCTCTCCCTCTCCCTCTCCCTGTCCCTCTCCCTCTCTGTCTCTCTTGAGCGAAAGCAAACTTTAAAGTAGTTAAGTGATTCCTTCCAAGGTGGCACAGTTTAGTAGTAAGCAGCTGGGCCCAAATTCTAGGCTGAGCAGTCTGTCTCCAAAGAGCAGGCTTTGAATCTACGCTGTGTCGCCTCCAAAACTCAGGTACTTGAATAGAATAAGATGCCCTGATTCTTCTTTTCTAAAGGCTGCACAGTCCTAGGGCATCCCTTTTTCATAAAAGGCTTTTATGATTCGGGTACTTTATTACTCTGATGGATAGAGCTAGACTGATAGAAGGGGCCCATGGTGGGGTTTCTTTGACATCTGAAGTATGACTCCAAGCCTTCCTTCTGCCTGTCCTCCTGTTCTGCCCCTCCCACAGCCCTCCAGACCCCCAGTGCCTAGCCTTCAGGGAAGTGGCACTCACCTGTATGGACGAACATGTGCTTGACATAGTTCTGTTTGGCTGTGAAAGTCTTGTTGCAGAGAGTACACTCATAAGGCTTTTTTTCGCCTTGCCCACTGGCTGTGCTGTGGCCTGCAGATGATGCCAGGGGCTGTGGCGCTGGCAGCTGTGCAGTAAAGGTGGACAGGCCGGGCTGGGACACTGTCACAAACTGGGTCTGCTGGCCTGTGAGGGGCTGTGGCAGGCTGAAGAGAAAAGGCTTGGGGCCACTGCCCGCGGGCTGGGTAGTGAAGAGGGCTGGCAGGTAGGTGTTGCCAGCTGTACCAATGACCTGTGTGTTGCTGGTCAAGGTCAGAGGCATCCTCAGGTTGCTGGTGAGCGTTTCTGTCTGGCGTAAATAGAGCTGGGTACTTGGCAATGGCTGCCCAATGGATGTGTTGACTGAAGGCTGTTGTAGGACACCCTTATCAGAGCTGTTACTGACAGTGATCACTGTGTTGTCCATCTCCACCTCGTTGCTTCTCTCTGGAGAGGAGGCACCTGTTTCTAGCTGGTTTGGCTGGGCACTGCCCTCAGTTGAGGCTTCTGCTGCCTGCTCAGGTTGGGCGGGTTCTGCCTGACCCTCCCTTGTGGCTCCTGCCCCAAACTGTTGTTCCACTGAGTCAGGTTCGGTGCCAATAGAGGAGCTGACCCCGGAATCAAAGCTTTCACCTTTGGGCTCACTCTCTGTGCCCTCGGCCTGGTCGGTGTCTTCCGTGCACTCCTCCGATTCATTGCGTTCTAGGATCTGCACCCTCTGCTGCCCATAGTAGTCATAGTCATCTTCCATTTCCTGCTTGATGTGGATGTTGCCCACCAGGGTCTGGATGCGCACAGGCCGGGGCTGCTTGCGGCAGTGCGTGGTTTCAGGGGTGGTGGACAGGTAGCGCTCCATCTGCTGGGAGCGCTCATGGATGCGTGTGATCCAGCTGGGGTCTTCCATGTGGTGGTCACGGGGCAGGCCGAGTGCAGTTTCGTGGTGGCTGACCACTGCACCGCTGTAGAAAGAGCGCTCGCCGCTGCCATTCTGCATGGAACAAGCGTACAGTGCCGAGTAGATGCGGTCCACACTGTGTTGTGGATGGCTCTGCAGGTATCCTGATTCTGTGTCACTGCTCTGGCCAGATGTGCCTGACTCTGGTGTGCCTCTTGGTGTGTCCTGGCCAGAATCCTGGATGCCCGGGAACACATCGCCCACATTTTGTGACACGATGCGTGTGCACTCATCTATGACTGTTTTGATCTGCAGGATGCTGGCGGCTGTGAGGATCTGTAGAGCTTCCGACTGTGAGACTCGCAGCACACCGCTGTACATGAAGTCAATGAGCTTTTGCACCGACTGTACTGACACCACCGATGGGATTTCGATGTCGCTGTAGCCCAGCAGCAGCTTGTCTTGGAAGAAGGGGCTGCCGGCTGCCAGCACGCAGCGGTGTGCGCGCAGCATGCTTCCGTGGATGCGAACCGTCACGTCACAGAAGTGGCCACGGTTGCGCTGCTCGTTGAGGGTCTCGAGCACGGAATTGCTGAAGTTGTGAAGGTTGATGCTGTGAATGCGCTCGGTCATCCCCTTGCAACTGATGTCACCTGCAGTACAGTGAGGCAAACACAAGACAGGGCACACAGTCAGATTTAGCTGACTGCATTTCTAACACTCAGGTCTTAGAAGAGTAAAGCCAGAACTTTGCAAATGTATACACAAGCTGAGCAGGCTGCATACATAGCCCAGGCAACCAAAGCTATGAGTTTCTCTCCACCTCTGGTCTTAGTGTCTCAGCTAATTTGAGTATCACATTCATACTGATTCCCCTGCCCCCCCACCCCAATTCAGGCGATGTTGTCTTCTGAAAGGATAACCATATGGGTTGTTGCTTGCTATTCCTGTAACTGCGGCTTGAAGACTGAGTGTGCAAAGGTGCATTTTAGTTCAGGGACTACTCTGCCTCAGTTTGGACTGCCTAATCCCCAACTCCTCTGGGAAAGTTTAATTCTCCCTCCTCAAGTGACTGAAGCTTCTTATTTTTATTAGTAGGCAGCAACAATATTCATAGTTTAGAAATTAATCCCTCCCTGGTTTACACGGCATATTATCACATCCCATAACATATATGCAAAAATTCTAGGAAAATTCAACCTAGACTAAGATGTTTACCAAACAGCCTCCATCACACTTTCCAGATGATGGAGGGATACAGAATGCAATCTGCTTGCAGAGGGAGCTGGCTGCTCTGGGTACCAACACTCTCTTCTTACCATCCTCCTCAGTCTGAGCACTTTCAAGGATGGTTCTGGTTGAGACAGGTGCTGTTGATGCTTAATGAAGAATTTTCTCTATTCTTTTTTTTTTTTTTTTTTTGAGATAGGTTCTCACTATGTCATTCAGGCAATCCTGAAACACACTATGTAGCCCAGGCTGGCTTTGAATTCTAAGATCTGCCTGCCTCTGCCTCTGCCTCCTGATTATTGGAATTAAGGTAAAAGAAGAAATGTTTTTAAAGGCCAGATGTGGTGTGCTCAGTGTGAACACACTATTCAAAATGGGCACTTCGAGAGTGAAAGAGGGCAATGTTAAGAGTTAGGCCAGGAGAGCAGGAATAAACTGGAGATGGGATACAAGCTTACTTTGAGCAACAGGATAGTTTGTACAACCATTAGATGGCTCTCAGAAGGAAGACAATAATCTTTGGGGAAGCTCTGCTACTCTGATCAACTGCCGACCCTAGTTTCAGGCTGTTTAACCAGGTGACAATGTTAACATCACTTCGTACTGAGAAGAAAACAGACAGCTATGGCACAGTCCCAGGCATTTCCCATTTTACTACCCACCTCTCAGATGTCTCTCAAGAATACCTTTCTACAAGTCATTCTTCAGTCGGAATCACACTTGTAACTTCACAATCTGCAATGTTTTCTTTTGACAGAAGACATGACTGGATTCAAAAGTGCCTGTGAAGGGACCAGCTCCCCATTTCGGCAGCCATGACAGTAACACGTGCTCGCTATGACCTTGTCTTAGTCACTAGAGGTTAGGTGCCTGCCTCGTGACAAGGAACCAATCAGAAGTTAGCTGGTGGCTCCATGCTTTACGACTCTGGGTGTGCTTTACGGACAAGTGCACAGCAATGACGCACAGAGCATAGCAACCACCCTGGGAGGGCCTATGGGCCATAACAACCAGTTGACCAATCAACACAGGGCAAGCCCTCCAAGCCTGGAGGCACACCAATTGTGAGCCTCTGAGTACCCCTAGTCACTCCCCTTACGCTGCCCTACAAGATCTCTCTCTGCAGCTGGTTGGAGCTGTCTTTTGTGAGCCATCCGCCATGACGGGTGGGTGAAAGACCTGAGCTAACATGGGGTTAGCTTGTTAAAAAACAATAAAGCCTCATGCAGTTTGCAGCAAGCTCTCGAATCTGCCTGGTGATTGGGGTGACCGAGGTTGTGGCCTGGGACCCCGGATACCTGAGTTTTCCGGGGGTCTAATACCTGAAAGATTAGTGAGGAACACTTCTGGTTCTGTCTGTGAGGGCATTATCATTGATGACTAGACTATGACTTAATGAACCGATTAAGCCCTTGATAGATTAAAAATAAGATCCTATTTGGGGAGGTGGTTAAAGGTAGGAGATCTGGCCTGGCTGGAGGAAGTAATCCCTGGTCCTGGGGCCCTTTGGGGCTGGATCTTGCTGTGGCTTCTTGAATTCTCTGCTTCCTGTATACAATGAAGTGAAGAAGCTTTCCTGCCACGTGTCCATTATTACAACGGTGCCAAGTAAGCATGGGTTGAACTGACTGGAACCATGAGCCAAGATAAATCCTTCCTCCCAACCCTAGTTAGTTATTGTCAATTTGACATAAGCCAGAGACACCAGGGAAGAGGGAATCAAAATTGAGAAATTGCCTCCATCAGATTAACCTGTTGTTATGGGGGAGGGGGTTATTTTCTTGATTGCTAATTGATGGAGAGCCTAGCCAGTCCTGGGCAGATGGTCTTGGGTAGTATGAAAAACTAGGTTAAGTAGGAGCTGGGAGGCAAGTTGTCTTAGTGTTCTATAGCTGTGAGGAGACACCATGACCAAGGCAACTCTTATAGAATAAAGCATTTAATTGGGGTTTGCTTACAGTTTCAGAAGTTTAGTCCACTGTCATCATGGCAGGGACCTTGGCGGCACACAGGCAGACTTGGTGCTTGAGAACTAGCTCATACTTCCATATCTAGATCCACAGGCAGCAAGAGAAAGATACTGAGCTAGGCCTGGGCTTTTGAAACCTCAAAGCCCTCCTCCAGGGAGACACTTCTTCCATCGAGGCCACACCTACTCCAACAAAGCCACAGCTCCTAATCATTATCAAGCAGTGCCATGCCCTGATCACTAAGCATTCAAATATGTGAGCCTACTGGGGCCATTGTTATTCAAACCAACACACAGTGTTCCTGCTGGTTCTGGTTCCACCCTTCAGGCTCCCTCCCTCCTTCCTTCCTTCCTTCCTTCCTTTTTTTCTTAATTGAAAAATATTTTTTATATACAATATATTCAGATCACAGTTTCACTTCTTGATTCCTGACTTAGCTTTCCTCAGCAATGAACTCTAGGCTGTAAAACATCATACACCTTTTCCTCCCCAAGTTAGTTTGGGTCATCGTATTTATCATGGGAACAGAAGTCAAACAAAGACACTCTCTTAAGTTTTTTTTTTCTGTCATGCATTTGGTCACAATGGTGAGAAGAGTTATGAATACTACATAACTGAGCTATCAAGTTGAGGGAGGCCAAGTAAGTGGGCTTTCAGAACAAAGCAGCCCTCACATGGATTGTAATTTAGATCCTGTTGTAAGCAACCCCAGAGGAACTGGCCTGTGCACAGCAGAAACATCTGCCTCCTTAGGCTTTCTCCTGTGCTATAGGGTTGTCTCTGCTCTGCCACTTTCAACTTTGCTCCACTTGATCACTCTCATACTGTCTAAGCATCATAAGTGCCCTCTACCCATGTATCCTATTCAGTGATGCCATTTACATCACGCTGCATAAGTGAACCTCTTTCAACTTCCATCAGGTTTATAATGAGTATGAAATATGGTATTAGGATATACTTTCCAACTTTTTTTTTACTTAATAAAACAGATTCTATTTGCACAGTTGAGTGATTATGGCAAATCCCCAATAACTATGTTAATACAAAATATATACCTAGATAAGATCCCAATAATTCAGGAATGGATGTCCATGAATAGAGTCAACAGATCATATTCCAACTTCTGGATGAATCCCCCATTATATATAGAAGGACAATAATAATGACAAACTTTTCTTCAAGCCTCATTGTCTGTCAAGCACTGTCCAAACTCTATGCATATTGCTCCACTTCCCATTTATACAATGGGAAATCAAGACCACAGAAATTATGCAATGTGCTCAAGGCTGCACTGGTAACTAGAGGTAGAGCTGTTGTATGAACCTAGGTGGTGTGACTCTGGATTTCACTCCCCACAGTTTCACTACAGCACATGCTTTGTCCCTATATGGGAGCTGGCATTAGGGCATCTATCCAGCTGTGGCAACCATCAGCTCTCAAGTTAAAATTTAAAAAGACTTCCTCCAGTTTTTGTGCTTCTAGGCTTGGAGGCTTCGTTGTAGATGCAGTCATCTGTCTAATTTAAACACACCCACATGCAGTTGGATGGTGGCGGCACACGCCTTTAATCCTAACACTAGGAAGGCAGAGGCTAGCCTGATTTACAAAGTGAGTTCCAGGATAGCAAGAGTTACAAAGAGAAACCCTGTCTCAAAAACAAACAAACAAACAAACAAACAAACAAATCATCCACATGCATGTGAGAGTGTACAATATCTATTTATTTATGAGAACTAAAACAACTTGTCCTGGACCTAAAATGTATTAGTCTCTACATAGAATTTCACTGTCACTGAAGCCTCTCTTTTCTTTAAGCAGAAGAGCAGTCAAATGGCAAATTGGCTGTCCACAGACAGCAGGAGGTCACCATCTCTGGGCAAGGTGGGCTTACTAGCACACTTCTCTGTCTACACAGGTAGAGGCATCTCTTCAATGCTTATGTGACCATGGTGCCAGTCACAAGGACTGCACTGCAGAGGTTAGATGACACAGATACTTCCTTCAGTGGATTCAGGAGCATCCCCTTCCCAATTGCTACACTGGTTAATGTCCCTATTAGCATTTTACTTGGTATGAAATACTATCCTATGTAAAACCTCATAAAAGCTTTCTGATTACTTTCAGGACATTGTTGTTATTTCTGTTTGAGGCAAGAGGAAGTTATGGTTCTAAAGTTTCTACCTAGTTTGATCAAAGTTCTATACATCAAGCAAACAAGCAGCCGAATTGGGATTAGAACCCATACTTCTTGGTGCTTTGAGGAATGACACTTGAATTGTCAAAGATCTAGGACTATGCTCATTCTTGTTATTAAGAGAGAGAGAGAGAAGAAGAGAGAGAGAGAGAGCACTGTGGTAGACATTGCATAAGAGATGAGGGACAGAGTATTAAAAATCTATTTTATCTTACATATTCACACACACACACACACACACACACACACACACACACAC